TTTCTCATTGCATGTACTCAACTTTTATAATCAGAGTAATGAAGAGAGAACCTTCAGTAAAGCCATAAGGTTTATAAAAATGAATATTAATTACATTAGTTGATAGTACTTCTCCTACTACACTGTTTATACCTATTCAAACAGGCCTTCTGAAGTCTCTCATGATTTTTCTTCATAGAGAGAGTGATGGGTTCAGGGAGTGAGGCAGGGGGAAGGGGGAACAGCGTAAATTTGGCAGCTCACATGTGAGCTCCGGCAAGAAGTCCGTCCACCGTAAAGTGGGAGCATTCCTGGACATATTTCGGTGATTCCTACATGAAGGCACCTGCTGTAAATCTCAGAGGTCTCCTCTCTTACTAAACACAGTATGTGTAAAAATCAGATGAATAATTTCTTATTAAATACAGTACAGTATATTCAAATACAATATGAAAACAGGGCATTTTAGCTTCAAATTAGTCCTTGTTGCGTTCTCTCCTCTGAGACGGACTCAGTGACCTAATAATCCTGTAAACAAACTTATTTTGCCTATACATCAGTGGATATATCCTCAGCCAAACTTCCATCTTATGCAATCCCTTGAATTTAGCTATTCCCTCACTTAGCGCCACAAAATGTACCTGGACAAATGATGGTATTAAATTGAGAAATGACTTCATGAACTATTTTCAAACAATAAAGATGGTTCTCGTATATATATCTTTGATGCAGGATTGCTCACATTACCAAGAGCACAAGGACTGCAAGTGCGTGTGCAAGGACACGGACTACGAAGCAACTTGTTTGGCTGATCCCAACAGGATTTGGAACACCAAAACGTGTCACTGTGCCTGCAAGCATCCCAAGCCCTGCGCCTCAGGGCATTTTTTCCACCCTGTACATTGCAGGTATTTCTGTGAAATCAATCATATGTGTTCTTTTCTTTTGCAAGAAATCATATCTGCAGCTCCGTTATTTGAAATTTATAGATGCGAGGAAATGCAATTCGATGAAAACAACAACTTCGTGTACTCGAGCTACAGAAATCGAGGGCAGCTTCCGTTGCCTCCTGGCCCTTCAACTGAACCACTTATTGTGGAAATGAGCACCGCAGCATCAGGTGAAATTTTTCAGAGATTCTGAGAGCTTACAAGTGTAAATGCGGGATTTTAAAGGGTCATTATATAATTATGATGAGCATATATATAGTGTCTATGGAGGGCATGGTTACCGTGTTGACACAATAACTCACTGCTCTAGAACTTGCCGCACTCAGATCTCTATGAATTAAAAGAAAAATACAGGAAAATTACAAAGAATTTTCAAAGTTTGTTGAGTTCACATAGTTCAAGAACACTCATGGAATATTTGGAGGGTGTTTCCATGAATAGTTAACCTCTCTTATGTTTTGTGAACTCTCAAATATGCTGCTATATTAAATGTAATTGCAGCAACTCATATCAGCGGTGGGTTATTTCTGTGGTGAGTTTGGCTTGCGGCAGGTTGTTACAGCAGCAAGTGATGACAGTGGCAAGCTGTATCAGTGGCAACTTTTGGTGCAGCAAGCACAGCTGAGGCAAGTAAAGGTGCAATGAGTTATGCCAGAGCCCATGGTCTCAGATGGTTGAGTTCACAAAACCACTGGGGAGATTTTTGTGGACTCATTCTTTTCTGTGATAAAAAAGGTAATCCAAAAAGACGGTAAATATTTTCAGCTGCTCTGTCACCTGCAGTTATACAGGGTATGTATACCGATAAAATGATTCACTATTATACATTTTATCATGCAGCGCAGGAGAAAACGACGATCGGAAGATTCTGGCTGAAAAAGTCGCAATCAGTACGTGGTGAAGATAGTACTTCGGCACCTTCAAGTACCACGACACTTCCGCCGATTCCTTCCACTACGACGACCAGGAGCAGCAGATCAACTCAGTCTTGGTTTTTTGACAACCCTGCCCGAGCCACACACCCACCCTCGAGGACCCGGTTTCAAGTTGACCCCGCTCGAATTCGGCCAAGGTTGGACGATGACCTTGACACTGAAGGTTGGAATCTATTCCTATAGGTTTAATATATGGTATTGAGAATATATGAATAATCTTTGCTTGTGTTTTACGAAAGAATTTTGTTTGCTGTCTCCAAAATCTCACCTCAGTACTTGATGATACTTTTGTATAGCGCAACTGCAACAATTTTCAGCGGACTAAAATTTATATATATTGTGCTGTATTTTATAATGTTTAATAAAGATAATCTTAGCATCCAGCTGTAAATATTGTATCACTGGGGGATCGCTGAAACTACAGAAGACAATTTTATTGTACGTAAAATTGCTGTTGAAAGAATCGCAGCCCGCAGAGGGAAACTTATTACGCACAGTTATTGGACTCTGGAGAACAATCTTGTCTACAACTATTTTCTCTGTACTTATTAAAAATTTATTTGTGGTCTTATAGGGTTCTCTATTCAGGGATCCTCTATAATACAATTCTCTCCGTAGAAAAAAAATGTTATGGTCCCCTGAATATTGTTGCAGAGGAAGTCTGTACCTTTGTTCCCATTTCAGATGAACATGATTCTAAAAAAGTCCTGCATGTTATATATCTAAAAAAAACTTCTTTTCACATGTGAAAATAAGTTTTTTAGATAGAAAATGTAAGACTTTACTGGATGTTTTGTAACCAGCACATTTGTAGTACCATGTTAGGTACTGTATTTGTTTTACTAATGAAAATATTGATATTCCAACAGCTCCATCATATCTGCCTTCATACATATACTGTACATATATAGGTTCCAAATTCAATGGTGATGTATACAGTGTAAGTAAAAAAAACCGTCTTGATCGCTGTGTTTTAGGAGGATCCTTGAATGACAGCGACATTTGTCTGTGTTAGCATGCAAGTGCGCATATTCATGATTTAATGAGTATTTGTTTGTCAGTGCTTGTGCATGAGGAAGCGTTGCATTCCTGCAAATACTTTTTCTATTGTCGAGTAGACTCTTCTATGGTCAGGTGAAGGAAAACAAAAAGTCGGGTACTGATGATTCATCGAATTTTCAGAATGAAAATGACCCAATTCCCCTCAAATACTGTGAATTGATGTAATACTCTTCGGATATAAATTATTGTGCTTATTTATAATTATTGTACCAATGTGATGCAAACATGCAGCAGCATCAGCGGTGCCAAGTACCCCAGGACAACGAACCGGAAAAGCCGTGTCTTTCGTCTGTTCTAACTGACGCGTAGTTTAGATTCATGTTATCATCAACAATACATTATGATCATATTTATTATAATAGAGGGGAAATTTTTGATTGTTGTGATCGTTAATTATCATCTCAGATGAAAAGGATCAAACCTTTTCGCGGAGCAAACAAGTGACATCCGTGAACGTGCCACGTCTCAAGGAATGGAAGCAACTCGCGACGGCGTCTGAAAGCATCAGCAGCAGCGGACACACTCATAATGGAAACGCGCTGGACACGTCAACTTTTGACTACAAGTCTGAGGACGAGAAGGGGGGCGAATCATATGATGCGAACAGCGGTGCCAACCCCAGGACAACGAACCGGAAAAGCCGTGTCTTCGACCCCAATGAAAAGGATCGGATCCTCAACAACATGGCAGGTTCGTGCCATTATTAATTTGTACAATACACGTCTTCTACTCATATCTAGAACACAATAGTTCACTCGATATATGTGAAGTATGAATATGTAGGCTTCACATACAGAAAAATGTCGTGAAAAAACTCCGATTATTTGTGAATTCGCATTAAATAGACGTTCATTCTAAAAATTTCTGATTGGAATCATGACATTGAAATTTAAAGAATGCACTTCCGAGTCGTTGAATCATACGGTATACGCGCACCTTGCGTAAAACCATGACTGGGTATGATAGCACCTGTATCCACCTTTCTATCTTCACAGCGTTCAAGAAAGGAACAAGAAGGCAGAAATGATGGAACATTTTTCAGAGCTGCGAAATGGAGATATTTTTTCTCTCTCCCTTTTTTTAAACAAGGCCTGCAAACTTGAAGAAAAATTTCAGCAGTAGGTATTGGAAATTATTGCAAACGAATAGCATGATTCGCATTAGTCATCAAGTGTTCAAAAAACGGTAAACTCAATTTTGAAACGCATTGTTTCTTTTTCGAAACGAATCGAGGAATGAAAACTATCCCTTGTGAAGGAATACTGCTCATTTATTTCCAGATCAAACGGACTTGATTGCACGGCTAACAAAACAGGACATGTTCAAATCGAGATACAATCGGATTGCTTTCCTCCGTGAGCCGAAAACACAAAAAAGATGAACTCGTTTTAAAGCAGTATTTCAATCGAATACAAAGAGGATCTCGTATCAAAGCGCTAAAACGAGGATGACAGATACTGTCATCGAGGTTGAACATGAGCTATTGTTCCCGTAGCTTTCAATTTTTTCTCTCTTTTTCTCCTTTATGAGGTCCATATCACATTTCCTAAGAACTAGTAGTCTCGGTCAAAAATTTCGGGAATGACTCGCACCACATCGAACGACTAGAAAAAATTCGCCGTCTTGGGTATAATCGAAATATCATCTCGTTGACTTCATCAGTTTCTTGATTAGGATAAGAAACGAATCATGAATCAGTCCTCTAACAACAGTATTTGCTTAGTATGCTTGCGCTTTTACTTCCTGGTGTCAAATGCACTCAAGCGTGCTTTATTCAGTAATTTACAAGTAGAATCCCGGTATGACAAACTTGCACCAACTTTGAGAACAATCTGCACTGCAGCACTGAAAATTTCTTTGAATTGGGATTTTCAAGACAACAATGACTCGAATTTTCACAACGAAGATTTTCTGATGGGGGACTCGTTGCCTAGCTAAATTGTGCCATATCACCTCTTCCAGCACTTTCCCCAGTCCAACAACTACGTGCTCAGACAAGAAGTCGGAACCCTTTTTCCGTCCGTTTCCAGCATGAACAAGTAGCTCATTTCGACTTTCACTTATTTTGCGGTTGTAGAATTAAATTATTTGGAGCAATACGTGCATGTACAGGAAAAAATACTTCAGTCTAAAAAGTTGGAACGTCGGACAATTTCGGTTTGTTCTACTAATATTTTACTCTTCAGCTTAGCTTCATCCGCGAACCAACTTCTGCGAGAACTTCAAAACATTAATTTCTCTTGCACTGAAAATGGTTCTCATAACAGAATTCTACCAGTAAATCGTATTGTCCATTTGTTGCAATTGGTAATCTGAGGTAATTCCTTCAAGGTAAATGGTACTCCGCAGAACAACAGTGCAGAGATTCGTAGGCATATTCAAACGTCACGCGCAAGTAACAAACGAGTCCCGCTTTGCGTTCATAGTTTCCCCCACTCAAAAGCCACCATCCAACCTAAAAAAAAAACGAACAAACAAATCAATGAGGGGGAACGTGATCCACATGATCGAGAGGAAAGCAACTTACGCGGGAATGGTCGAGGAAAACAACAAATATCTCAATGATTGAAAGCTCTCGGGTTTTCAAGTCGTGACCACTTCACGCCGTGCAAAAACGAAACAACTCCGCTATTCGAAATACTTCCACGCAGAAACGATAAGAAACTTCTCTATAAAAAGCTCCGAGTCAAGCACCGCAATGTGCGCAGCTCGACCAATGAGCGCGTTCGCAGTAGCCGGCAATGCGTGATGCACATCGTATCGCACGAGTGTCACGTCCGGCTTGGCTATGATGGGCTGCAGGATTCCAGTCACCATTTCTCGCATTGCTGCGCCTGAAGAGTGAACAAGAATCAATGGTTGAAATGAGACCTCCTTTCGCATCATGCTACAGCACTTTCAGGCACTAATCACTCAAGAACGCTATGGCTCTTCCTCTTCAAACAACATTCAATGGGTTCAGGGCAAAATAAATTCATCAGGAGTAGCAATGAAGTCGGTTATCTTTATCTGAAAGTCCAAAAGGACAATGTCAGTTGAAAAACTATATTTGATGAAAAATAAAAGTTGGCTTTTTTCCTAATAACACAACAAATAATCACCAGCTGAAATAAATTCTGAAAAATTTTTCTTGAAACCCAGCTTTTAAATTTTTTGAAGACATTTCACCGTACTTGCTTCGCTAGCTCTCAACAAAATTTGGCAATAAAAGTTTTGGTTGTAGGACTTAACAGCAGTTATTTTAAAATGTTCTCCTGATCCGCAAAAAAAATTATGGAAATTTGCTGATCTGCAAACATTTTATGGAATTTACTGGTCTGCAGGCCCAAAAAAGGATGGGAACACTGATTTGGATTATACAGTACTGCTCTTGAGGAAATTCAGACAGGAACTTAACACAAATTCGACAAAGGAACGTTAGACTTGGCCAGGTTCAACTGTACAAAAACTTCATGTAGCAGAGAAAGCGAAAAATGCATGAACCCTTAAGCTATTTAGGAGAGGAAAGAAACAGAAAAGAAACGTCGTCCGACTCACCCATGACTGTGCCATCCTTGGCTGCAGCCTTGCACAGTTCGATTCTCGCAGAGTGCATGGGAACGTATCTGTCCTGACTGGACCCGCACAATAAAATGTTCTTGAACTGATGCAGCTGCGATTCTCTGGCAAGCTTGTACAAAAAGGTTTGCCTCGGATCGCTGTGGTCTTTCATCGACAACTGCAGCAACGACCCGCTTTTCTTGAACTTTTGCATGAACCACAGCCCTTGAGAGAACAAGAAAAATCTAATTTTAGAACCATCACTTTCGGAAGAACATTCAAAGACGAATCACAGGCATTTATGCATTTATTTTCTCTTTCTTTTTGCAACTAATAAAACTAAAACTTGAATTTCGCTCACCCATGTTGATCAGCCCGCTGCTGTTGTACAGAGTGCCAAGATGAGGACCAGATAGCGAGAGAAACGTGTGAAGTTTTGGAAATAACGGCTTCATTTGGGGCCGCGTCAACGCCGACCGTATCAGAACCGTTCCCAAGGAATGTCCGATGAAGCTGATCTTCGACGGTTTCATTTGCGACGCTTCTATGTGATACATAATTTCAGCTACCAACCGATCCGTCATCGCTTCAAAATCGGAAAACGTGTCTCCCTAGTCAAGTTGAAGAGAAAAACGCATCAACACGCTAGAACGAACATAAACGCAAAATTTGACAAAATATCGGCAAACAAATTCAAGATTTCAACATTTTTGCTTTCAATCTTCCGGAACTGCGGGTTGCTAAGTCAGAACTCCGAAATCCTCTTCCCAAAAACCGGCTCGTAATCATGTAAAATTTATATTCTGATACAATACTCGGTAAATTGCACAAAACCTTCTACCATCTACGGAATATTCCTTAACCTTCCGGATGTTTTTTAAATCCTCGTAAATGGATGTCACAATCACGAGACGAGTTCTCTTGGATAGTTGGACATTTTAACGAGAGAACATCCGAAGTGTATACTGTACTGTATGCAGTAAGTCCCTTTTAACAATGAATTCGCGCATAAATAATTTTAATTTTCACTTGAAGCCCGCCTGTCCTCAAGCACACCTCTTTGGATATAACACAGGTGTCGCCCCCATTTTACTGGATTTAACGCTTTTGGTTTCAATTCAACCGTTCAGGCTGAAATATAGAGATCTCGCCTGGTAAGCAAGCGCGATGGAATTGAAACTGGTCACGCCTCGCTATTCAAGTGATGCACGCAACACCCAACTGGCGAACCATTAAAACACGTCCGTGAGAATAAATTACTGTAAAACCTTTCCTTCAACGAGAAAAAAAAAAATTTTCATGCTTCTCCCCACCGACCTGATTCCTTTCCGACATGATGAACTCCAAATTAGAACCCGACAGTCCCATCTCGAGATACGCTCGAACCAAACGCAAGTCGGCCGCGTTGCCGTCGAGCCCGTGGACGCAAATGAACAAGTGCAGCCCGGCGGGATGAAACACCCTGTACTCGTCGTTCACGTGGAAATACGGCAGCGACGTGGCCGACGCCGAAGTCGGGTAATCGCTATGCATCGCCCCCGGGGCGAGTTTCATTTGACACCGGAACTCCTCTTTGGCCTTCAAAAACGCCATCAACTCGGGGCTCACAGAACCCGCCGGTCCGCCCTTGAAGGTACAGAGGGATCGCCGAGTCGGCAGTTTCGGCGCCGACGCTGCCGAGGTGAGTGCCCCACTTGCGGCGGGGGCGGATATTGATGACGAGCGGTCGGCGCCACGCGACGCCTGTCGCGAAGCACAGCATTCGCACATCAATCCAGCTTGAGTCAATACTTGCGAATCACTTGAGCAGGAACACCTTCGTTTCGCAGACCTGGAAAAAGTCCCTTCAACGTATTAGTCTTCCAGATTCTTCAGGAGGGACGATACATCGACAAAACGCAAGAGGATTAATTGAACCCTGAGTGCGCTTCAATTCCTCCTCAGATGTCATTTGATTTTCAAGTTCAGAAACGCTGACTTGGGTTCCGCTCAAAACGACATCATTTAATAAAAGATTGTGTCGTGAATATTTTTCTGTTTAGAAAAACACGGTACAGTACTTCTAAAACCTTCGTTAAATGTTCCCCGTAAACAAAATCCGTTCTTATTCCACAACTCAGTACAGTATTTACTTTTCGAGTAACTCAATGAATTTTCTCTTCACCCAGAACCCCATTTTCTCCACTATGTCATTCGACGCTAAAAGAACGCTCGGGCGAAAACAATTCACCTTGTTGATGAAAAATTCCTCTGCACGCCCAGGGATGTGCATTGGCATCTGAGGAAAAATTAAAGTCCGTTCTGAACCTAATCATCCTCCGTAATCTCAACAAATACAAAGTCGTCAACGAAAATCACTTTCAAGTGTATCACGTAATTACACATCGTACATTCATCTATTTCTCGAAGAAGTTGAAGAAAATCAACCAGAATCGATCGAGAAAATATTCCATCTTATAAAAGACTTTTTTTTGGATCAGGCAGGTGTCGCATAAATTCTTCAACCCTAACATGAAACAATCAGACTATCTTAGCGTAACCAAACACAGATCAATCTAGCAGAAGTCAATGGAGTGATGATTAAAAATACAGGTGGAATTTAATTAAAACAGGAAATCTCACATTCGGAAGGTTGGAAAAATTTGAGTTGTTCGTTACAGAAATTACTTCTCTGAAATTATCGCGCAAAACCACATCAATTATCAGTTTGTTTCACACTGCGAATTAAAGTTAACTGATAAAGTTGCAGTATTTTCGCTTCTTGTTTCCATTTTTTGGACTGATAGCGCAAATCTTATTTTCCTCCCCGGGTAAACATAAAGTCTAATACGTGATATGATGACACACGAGAAATGTTGAAATACTTCATCTTTATCTTTTTACCTCAATTCAACAGCTACGGCATTTCCAGTCCATTCGGCGCCGAGAGACTCTTCGCACACTGACTTGGCTTTTGCTGCAGACATTTTGCCGCCTGGTCGCATTCTCGGCACTGTGTCCCTCGCGGACGCCGGACTTCCAGACGTTGTTTTCGCCTCAGGAATAATCCGAGCAGTCGGCGCCTTTTCCGCTTCCGCCTGCTTACACAGTGCAGGAGTGCTAGCTGCCGTCCGCTTCAGACACGAATTTGCCAAGTTTTTCGGCCACGACGGATTTTTTGAACCCAATCTGGACAAATTCGAGCCAAGAATTCCAAGTTCAAGACCAGATTTTCAGCCCAAATAGAGTTTTAATATTGACAGTTATTATCAGCAGAAACAAGAACTGACAATACTGTAAACACACAAAAAATTAATATGAACAACCTAACAAGGGATAATACAGTACAGTAATGCATTTTGTCCATACGTCAGAATCTCTGAAAATGTTACATACGTGTCGTCGGAATATCATCACAATGCTTCCGGTCGAAGACTCAAAGGTATTTCATGCTAGAAGCATTTAGGATATACACCTGAACCTTAATAATCTAAGCCTATTCAAAATCGAAGTCTATTTTTAACTTTTATTTTCAATAGACAGTCTGAATTCCATCGAAAACAATACAGTATAAAGATCCACAACTCGAATGCTTCGCCCTCGAAGCTTAATAACGTTTTTTTTTTTTACAATCCCGTTAGCAAACATTCCGTTTGCTTATTATTTCATTGACACAGGGAAGATAAAAACTGCTGAAAATGTAACGATGTGTTTTTAAAGGATGTTAAAGACTATTTGGGCAAAGGATTCCAGAGAACCATTTTCTATGAAGTGTGTGAAACAATTTTTTTTTTACTCCTGCTTCAAACATTTCAAGGTCAGAAATGTTCGTAAGTATTACACTACTTTAGAAGACCTTACTACAAACAACGAGTTGGCGACATCAGTTTTGAGAAGTTCCAAAGAAAAGATAATAAAATCGTGTTCACCTCGCGAGTTGCAGTTCGTTCACTGCTTCGTAGATGTGGTAAATACTATCGTCATCGGAGGTTCCTCTAAGCTTCCCACGCGGGATTTTATCAGAATCTCCGAAGCCTCCAAAAACATCCACGTCCTCCAACCCGACCTGTACACTTCTGCCACTATTCCGCTTCAGCTCGGGTAACGGGTCTCGAAACTCCTTCGGAGGCAAACTGGGTAAGATCTCGTTTTCTATCACATGCGATCCGCCGGCGCCACCGCCACCGCCATTCACCCGCACGGATCCGCCTTCTTCCAAGTTGAACATGTCTTGGAACTCAAACGGCGGCGGCAACGGATCAGAGGCAGCTGCCACCTTTTTCTCTTCTTTCGGACTTTCGCTTGAAGGAGGCGGTGAGATCTGAGTAGACGATGAACGCCGAATCCCATCTTCCATCTTTAACGTTTCTACCGCATTCGCAGCAGACGCAGTGGATGACGAAGAGTTATTGGACACCCAGCCTGAATGTTCTGAAGTTGAACTGACTTCGTACGGATCATCCGTCATTACGCTCGGGGTGTATTCTTTCTTGGGCAAGAATGAATTCGCACCGTTGGGCAAGAACAGGTTACTCAGCGACAGGAAAGCGGCTTTACGAACCGGAATCGCTGCCAAGTCACTCAAATTTGGCATAGATTCACTGGGGCACAAAGCGGACGCTACTTTCACAGGACTAGTTTCAGAGAATGTCATTCTCGCTGCTGACGTTTCAACGACGGATGTCGAACACCTTCGATATTTCTCGTTTAGCGGTTTCAACTGAGCATGTTTCAGACCGGTTTCCGAAGTCGGCATCGGCAAGACTGCAGGGGGAACTCCGAGACAAAGGTTGAAGGGATAACTTACACTCGTTTCCAGCTTCTTGTATCCTACGAGAACGACGGACTCCGAGCTCGTGTCGGACGACGAGGAACGCTTCACAGACATACTTTGCTGCTTGCGCAACTCTCGATTTTGCGCCATAATGTTGAGTTTGCGTTTCCGCAGAGATAGCTTCCCGTCCATGGGTTCCACGAAAACATCATCAAAGTCGGCCTTAGGGCAGGGCTTCTTTTTCCCATTCTGCTTCGGTTTCGGAAATGTGAAGCATTTGGTGATCGGGCTTGGGACCTTGGGCGGTTTCAGAGCAGCACTGCGTTCGTCAACCACTACCAAGGGCTGAGGAGGGGGGTCGGGGTCATAAACAACGCTCTGGGGTGGAACCACATTCTTCTCCTCCGGGGCAGCAGTAGGAAATATTCTCTGCAATATGATGATGCAGTGCTTGAAGCTCGTGGTAAAATATGAATCGAAAGTTCGGATGATGCATGAAATGTGATCGCCAAGCATACCACGATCTTCATGTTTTTTTTAAAGCTATTATCTAGACACGCAGTATTTAGTCGAAAACGTTCCGAAGAATCGAGTACAGTACACAAACTTTTCGGCAACTCTAATAAGGCAGACATTTAGCGTCGAAAAAAATTCCAGCGGAGTGAGCAAAAGGTTGAATATTCTACTATGGGTAGTAGAATATACGGGTAGATGTCACTTCCAGTCAAACTGCCATTCTTTCCCTATTCTCCGATCACACCATTTGATTCTGTTCCGATTTTGTGATTTCAGGAAACGATAATTCATTGCGTTCCCAGTTATATTTGTATGAAATATATTATTTGATGGATTTAATACCGATTTTGAAGAATCTCTGCGCTCATTTCAACCACAATTTGATATCAAGACTTTCCAAGAAGTTCGAGTACATTATAGGGGGTGTTCACTATACCGACATGTATAGGAAATTAATCGTTTGACTCGATAGGAAAACACTACTGTATCATTTACAAGGGAACTGCAAATAAGAAAAAAATTAACTATTTACCTCGCTGTCGGAACCGGATGTCAAAGTGGGTTTTTTCTTCCGATGACGTAAAGGTGCCGTGGGGAAGGTGTCAAATGGTCGGCTGTATTCGGCAGCCCAACGGGCGACAGACGAAGACCCGGTCGACATGGTCTCCGACAACACATTCCGACGAGGAAGAGGATTGACATCGCGCGCTAAACTCTCGCTCATACTGCGGGCTGTCACGGGCTTCTTGTCCACCTGCACTGAGTCATAATGCAGCTCACTTTTCTGCGTAAGGTAGACGGCGCTGTGACGGCAACTGGACACTTTCGGACGCTCTGCTTCTTCCCGAGAATCCCACTCACTAAAAAATAATTCAATTTTCAACAATTAGCCATCACAATTTCCCATAAGAAACCTCAAGTCCTCCGAATCTCCCAAAAACCTCCTTTGAAAACAAGAAACTTTTGATCCTGACTTTGTACTTCCAGCAATTCAATAATTTACAAATATGAGGGGACCCTTCAAAAATTCGCAGACTCAAAGATGCAAAAAATTATTCCTCGCTGTCTTTCACTCCGGCCATAATTTTTAATTAATATTCGTGTGGAGCACTCCTGCAAATCAAAGCTGATGCCAAATTTCTAGTGGCAAAACGCCAATGCCACTGGTTCACAGTCACGAGTGTTACCACGTGATAACCCAAAAATTGGCAACACAATTAAAAGGTTTCTTCAGCAAGGTGCTAAAATTATCTACGAACTCCAAAATTTCTTAGGATATCTCCCTGATATTGACTTATTGATATTGACTTGTTCGCCCTCATTCTGAGAACGAATTATTTTTTTTTACCTCGTTTTCCGAACTCGCCAAGACGCAGACGAAATCCGAGATGCAGTTGAAGAACCAAACCCGGAATCGGAACCTAAAGCCCCTTCAACAACCTGAGACCTCGACAGTGACAATGCATCCATTCCAACTTTTACGTCAAACGCATTCACACTATCCCCTGCGAAAATAAAAATGGTAAATGAGGGCTTCTAAAGCAATAAGGTGGCAATTATACCACTTGTAAACGTCAGAATGCTTCGTCTCCTAGCGAACTCCTTCACGTCCTGATATCGGTCTTCGAAGATTATCGGCAGCAAGGATGGATCTCCATCCAGCTCTTGACAGTCGATCGTCAACCGCGGCAACAAGTTAAAATACTTCGACCTTCTCACATAATCCGCCATCAGCATATAATTCTGATAGTTGCAATCATAACACCCAGCCATAGACGGTCTCGGATTGTCGACAATAAAGAAGCCTTCTGAAAATCTTTTCATCTAAAAAAAAAATCGAATTTTCATCATTTTCCTTCAAACAAACAAAAAAAGCAAATAAAAGTAAGCGTCTTTTTCTTTTTTTGTTGCTTCAAGCCGAAAAACAGGTTCCAAAATTTTTCACATAAATTATTATTTAATCATTCGTTAAATTGTTTCAACTTCACAAGACATCGAAGCGTTACTCCAGATTTTTTCGGTGGTTTTCAGAAAATCGGGTAATACTAAGACACGAAAGGGAGAAAATCGCCACTTCGAAATCGCGCATGGTTAGAGAAAGAAGAATAAATGGGTACAACAGTGGTTCATATTTTTCCTACCTGGCTTTTACGGTGTCATCAAAATCAAGGCAAAAACAAGTCTGCAATTTATAATTTTAGAGGGTATTTAAAATTACCATTTCGCTTTATCTGATCATCTGACGATCGTTGAGCATACTGATTCATCAAGTTAAATGCGCCGTTTTGAACGGGAACGAAACAACCGTCGTACATCAAACTTTCACCATGCGAACTCACCCTTTGTTCGTGATGATGTTGCGCCATGATCGACCGAACAGGCTCACAATGGGTCACCGCCTCCAATAGCTGCTGCCAAAAAACGATGTTTTGCGCACAAAGAACAGCAATATCGCCTTCAGCCATTGCCAGCAGTTTATCCTCATCATCACAATCCTAGTGGTCAGAGCACTTGTCAGAAATGATTCGAATGGCAATTTTTTTTTTTTTATTACGCACCAACAGTTGTGCAGTGTCATGAATCTTGCGGCGAATATTTCCCTCCTCCTACGGAAAAAAGATCAAGATTTTTCATCACCATCAATTGATTTCTAGTTCACGGAGCGAATCTCGGTTGTGCAGTGAATTTTAGATTTTCAACACCACATAAAGTGAGTAAATGTCAGACGGAAACTCACTTTTAGATACACTCATTTTTAGATAATTGCACGATACAGAAACTCGTCGAAACCATTTTGGGAATAATTTAATGATTTTTTTAATCGATCCAAAAAAAAAAAAAAAATATCTCAGAAGATACTGCGAGCATCAACGAAGTGGAGCCGAAACTTCTCAATGAATCCGAATTCACGATGAAGACAGATACTGTAACTAAGGCATAAAATCTCTCCTTTTAATCGCTCTAACTCGTGTGAATACTGTACTAAATTTAGCTTTCTAAATTCAAGAAATGATCCCGAGAAATTCAAGAAACACCGCACTCACGAATGAACGTTTGGCAAGAGCTTCCAACTTGGCCACGTTCTCACAAAACTTCGTCTTCCCCTCATCCATATTCCCCATCATCTTCGCTTTGATATGACCCAGCTTCGCCCTCATGAGTTCATTTGATATTGGAATGGCTTCGGAAAACGCTCTCACGGTTTGTTCCAGGCCTTCGTACGCAGTCACGAGCAGCGTACATAATTCCCGGTGAATTCGACAGGCGTGTGTAAGCCTCGACGATCCGAATTCCAAGCAACGGGTGTGCTGAGAAGAACGGTTTTCAAAGAAAATCGATTCAAACATTTTCCATGCAATTTGAAATAATTCAACATGGCTTTATGGAAGCGGGAAAAATCTCCTCAACACATCACCCGAACACATCAACTTCAATTTAAATATTTAAAGCTGTTCAGCGTTTCTTTACCCCAAAATGCAATGCTTTTTTGTTTACAAAGTGAACCGATGTTAAAAATAATGCTCCAATAGCTCCATCACCAAATTCTCAATACCCGCAGCTTCATACAAGATGCATTTGTGGAGGTTGAACAGTCCACATAGGGCACTTCAACGCTTTTAAATTCTCTTCACTTCAACTTTGATCCGCAAAATAAAAAAATCACTTAGGAATAGAATACCCGCATACTTAATTCGAATTATTTTCAACTTTTACAAAGCATATGACATGATGACCATGATTTCAGGAAGAAACCCCATTCGAACCAGAAGACATGCAATATGTGTCTATTAAGCAGGTACTCACAACAGACCCGAAGAAAACCTCTTCGATAGAAATCGTTCCCGTCTGCGGCCATGAATTCGATGCGCTGGCAGACCTTTCCAACACAAAATTAACAAACGCTTATTAAGGCAAAGATACTTTCATCGAAATGTAAATATATTTTATGATCAACCTCGACGACGCCTGGTGGATCGAGAGCAGCGTTCCGTGTACAGTGATGGAAACTGCTGACAAGTGGAAGTAGTCAAACCAGACAGGAAGATGATAATGAACACCAGTAGCTGGTGAGAAGTGAACGTTGAGCGTTCTAGTTGAAACACATGAAATGTTGCTCGGTTGATTGCCCAGCGTCTGCTCCGAGAACCACAGCTCCAAGATCAATTGAAATTCTGCTTTCTCCAAGATATCGTTGATCTAAGAAAAAAATGGTACAGTATTACCATCGATGATCAACCAGCCTATTTAAAATGAAAAAAGGAACAAAAATTACAAATAATTAATGCTACTGCACTTCTCAACCTACTTCATGTGGCCGAAACATGAAATGGAAAATTTTGGAAAACACGACAGGGAATACCAAAAGCTAAATACTGTACTCACTTTAAAAGGATTAACCATGAGATCCACACGGAAGATGAAAACGTCGTTCAAATAAATTTCCTCGTTTCTATACAGAACTTGAAATGTCTTGCTGGCAGCTGAGCCATTGAACACACATGCTGGATAGGCAAGCGGTGGACCTAAAAATTTGAATTGCAAACAATTTTCCCAGAACACGGATTTATAATGCTCACCTGTGTTGAGATTTTTCGGATAACTCAAGTCCACTTTCGCAGGAATTTTCGATGAAGACTTCCAGTATGACCTGATCTGGTAAAATCTGAACAGGAGAAAGCACCGAATCATGAGACGTTTGCTTAATATTTCATTTAATCTAAAATGAGAAACATTTCATCGTACGAGCGCGCCAGTAATTAACAAAATCTGGAAGAAATACTGAAACCCACTTTCTGAGGAAAAATTCGATTTTCAATATAAATAATCAACGACGGCAACTCCCGGAGATATGAGGTCAAACTAGTACATTCTTCGAGCGGGACAGTCAGGTCAAATTTTCATTAAGTCTGGAGCGTATGCAATTCATCAATTAATTGAATGCAAATTATTGAAAATAGTGCGTCCCAAGTGCGCATAAAAGATGAGCCAGGTTTGTTTTATTCTGAATTTACATATTGATGAAATTGCTTTTCCTCTTCAGTAAAAAAAAATCACACGTTACTAACCCTCTTTGAAACAAGTCGATGTTGAAGAACTTGACGATTTCCACAGAGAATTCGAGGGATGCCTGAAGTTCTCCCATCTCCGGTAACAACTTATCACTGTGCAAGAGGGCTCATCCAGGGGCATCCTCAGAACTTTCAGCGTCGCACTTCACGCCGCAACGCGTCATTGAAACGCGACCTGAGGATCCCTCGAAAGATGGTGATCCTACATTTTTGATTCACACATAAACGCTGGTTATCTGTAAAATGCGGCGAGAAGTTGGTTATCATATGGTAATGCAGATAGCGTCATAGAAAAAGAAAACTTCGGTTAAAAAAAACCATCTTCCCTCGTTCATTTCCCCTACGTAGAGCAGTATTTTCGGTTTCGTCAACATGAAAAAAAAAAATCGGTCAAGAGCTCGGTAACTGCGACAGCGACGCGGAAACGAACTCGGCAGGTTATCCAAGGACCAAGAATCACACGAAGAAAAATTCCAATCAAAAGCACAAAAAACCGAAGGAAACCTGACACCCGCAGTTTGTTTACCATAAAAAAGTCGCTTTCACTTCCAAACGTCTATCCCTACGTGATATCCCATCCCAATGCTTCGTGCTTTTTCGCCGACTACAACGCCTTCAGAGGGCTCTCCAAAAGTTTGCACAACTCGAGTTCGAATAGATACACAATTTATATCCCGAGCAAGCGTGTTAACGTTTGTTCGGCTGATATTTTTCGTCGATACTAGGAAAGCTTTGAAGATAGCGAGAAATAGAACTTCATATGCTACGATATTAAAAGGTCAAGAAATTTCGTCAAGATATTACGCAAGAGAGATTACAAACCTGATTAAACATCTCACTGCCCCTTGGTTGACTATTTTCCCTTACTCAGAAAGCTGAATACTATCGGTCAAATCTTTTCTAAAGGGGAAAGAATTTCCATCCACAAAATATCCGGTCGAAAGTTTGAAGAACCCGTTTGGCAACGTCTGAACCAACTCTCCGCCTCCCATAAACACTCGCATTCGAAGGACATAGTAACTCAAAATAAAGTCGCACTTGCAAGGAAAACTATCGACAACGAAAAGCGACAGAAATAGGCAGGGAATGCTCACACGCCAGGTACGGATCACGGAACGGCATCACTTGCAGCGCAAAACACCTAAGGAGTTCTTCTGAACATCGCGCGCGCGACAGAATCAACAATATGAAAAGTTTTTTTTTTTTTTTTCAAGTGCGGGTTTCTTGGGAGATCCCAAATGCGTTCCTGACTAATTTCATCTCGCAAGAGTCTTCTGTTGACGGAATATTTCCAACGGAGACGGGTGGTGGCAAGCTCAGGCATTTTTCTACGATTTACATTTATCCACCGAACGGTTTATATCACAGAAGTTTGCTATCTCGGCGCATTTTCGCAAAATCGCCTCAACACATCACCCGAACACATCAACTTCAATTTAAATATTTGAAGCTGTTCAGCGTTTCTTTACCCCAAAATGCAATGCTTTTTTGTTTACAAAAAAAAAAATAAAAACAAAAAAAAAAAAAAAAAAAAAAAAAAAAGGAAAAAAGGGCTACATCTCCAGCGAGCTAGCATGTTTTGTCAAGTAGTTCCGAGAGTATATTATCCCTGTCCATATTGTTAAAATGTGCAAAAGGGATATTTCTCGCGTCTTACATGTCCACTGTTTATTTCGAGATGGAAAAAAATCCTTTTGGCAATTAAATTTGCTATCAGGCTAATGGCCAACCATCCCATTACAAGTTATGAATTATCCGAGGAGAAATCCTGGTCAACGCAGAACTGCGCGTTTTCTTTTTTTCTGTCATTTTCAAAGCCTCCTGCATCGCGGAACTCTTCCTAGAAATCCGCACGAAGTGGTCATCCCCAAACACTCGGTGCACTAGTTCAAATGGAAACCCTTCTCTTGGCAGGCAGCTAATAATTTGGCGCGCAAAATCATCTCGGACGAATAGTCGGGCAGTTTCAGGTAGTGCAAGCACGTGTTAACGGACGGGTAGGACCCGTCGCCGGCGTCCACCTTGCGCACCACCGTGAGGCGCGGATGCAGCGATGCTAAGCCACCGGGAGGCAGCGACGAACACCCTGTGGCGAACTGGAGGAAGGCTTTACGCTCCTTTCCATTCAGACTACTAAGCACGTTTACGAAAAGCTGGAATCCCGGGCTGAAACAAAAAACAGTACTCATTAAACGATCGCATACATTATAGACGGAATGAAGACGATTCCTCGACAACTCGGACAGTAACGTCTCACCATGGGCGACAACAGGAATAGTTTTCTTTCTTCGATGATTTTCTAATTCTTCCTTTACTGACAGGCAAGTGGAACAAATAAGGCAAGACATATTTTCTCCTCAATTCTTGATTGCAAGATCAATAGGTCGTTTGAAAGACATCAAAATCTTGTTCAGATATTACGTCTATTCCTTTTTTTATTTAGGAAGAAAAGTACTCGGGGTTATTCAGTAATTCTATGATAAATTTTAATCGGTATTCAATCAATGCCTAACTTGTGGAGCAAGTTATTTCGCTTTATGTTCAAGCCACAAGTATAATACCTTTCACGCGTGAAACCAAGTTTCGGATCGGTATAATTGAGGATATCCTGACGCGTCCAGCTGGGACATTGTTCGCCACAAAGCATCAATCGAACCTCGTCTGGAGAAAATGTGCTAAGAGTTTCCAATGGGAAAACTTGATCGAAACCACTGCGAAGTGCCTCCAATTGCCTCTGTATTCCGGTTTGCAAGCAAAATTTTCTCGTTTCCCGAACATACCTGAAGAATTCGATAAAGTACTGTATAATATGCTCAAGGGTATTTATAAGCAGGTTTAAAAAAATTAAATTGAATTGTAATTCTGAATACCAGATACTTACTGTTCAACGTTATCCGTAGTCACGAGTGTGTGTTCACCCCCGGAAATCAAATCATGGGTGAGAAAATCGTGAGATCGTGACGACGGGCTGTATTGGAAAGATATGCACAAATCCTCGAGTGCCACTTGTCCGGAACCCATGCTTTCAGGTAGATCAATGACCAAGGTATTCAGTTTTTCTCGCCTGAGCTCCTCTGTCAAAGACGAATCTCGCGATATCTCCCGCTTGCGCAAAATCAGATCATCCAGGGTTTGCAAAAATCGGCCTCGTTGGTGGTCCACCACTTCAAGGTCGTGCTTATTCAAGAACTTAGCAAACCTGCAAAAAGGGCACACGTATTTTAGTTCATTCTGACTTTCCTATACCCGCTGTTCGAATTCTTTCTGGAAAAATTCAGTAAATTGAACAATGAGAGTATTTTTTATTCACAGTATTTCAAAAAAATCAATTGCGAATTTCCACGAGATGCTTTTTAGAAAACAACTAAAGAAACGTGAATTCTTTGCTCACCACGGTGAAGCCTGTTTGTCTTTTGAGTTTTCCGGTTCGTCACAGTTCCATTCGTCAGTCTCGGCGAAGAGGTGCGATACGCACTCGTCACTGACTTCTCCGAGGCACAAAAGTTTGAACATCGGACGGGACAGCGGAACATCTGCCAGACGATTGTCTTGCAACACTTTCGCAAGAAATATCCCCATAAAGCTGGAAAAAATCAAAACCCTTTTATGCGAAGAAATTTTGTTGCTTTCCCAAAAAATATTTCGAAGTTCAGGTGAACTACTTTCACAGAAATTAGTCATTCTACAGGTTTCCACCTTTAGTATTTCTCCTTAAAAAAAATTTTCGGAGTTAGAATTGCAACGAAGGTAAGCCTTTTGATCTCAGCTGACTACTGTCTTTTGTAGATTTCATGAAGTTCAGCGAGACAACAAACGGAAATACAATTTATTAAGCGAAGAAAAAGTACGACAGCAAGCTTCAACGAAATATACCAGATTACTTTCGACGCACAAAATAGCACGCCAAAATTGATGAAAGCCAGGAAAAATTCGAAAACTCACAAGAAAATTTCAGCGGCACGATCACAAATTTCAGAATCCTGAGGCAACGGAGCGGGAAACAAGCCGTTCGGCGGATGAACAAAATATCCCGTCGGTAGTTGCGGTGCTTCCATGGACGACGCGCACGCCGAGGTCGGCGGTGCGAGATCCGCGTCGATGTTGCCAAGCACGTCGTCGCAAAGCCAAATCCCGAGGTCACGACGCTGCAACTCCGCACTCACCAAAGCATAAAATTCTAGGGTCGGACCCAAGCCCGTTCCTTCTTCATCGGTGAACTCCACCTGGCGAAACGCAGTTGATGACATAACATTTACATGGCATTTCAAGTGAAAGGATAAGTTGAAGTGAGTGAAGCAGGATTCACAAGATTCTTGATTCATCAATGTTGACCAGAGCTTACTCCTCCCTGGGACGGGGGCCAATAACCTAATACAGTAGAATCTCGTACCGAAGAAACCCCCAGTACGGACAATAAAAAAAAAACGAAATTGAAGGTTTTTGGTAGATTCGGACCAACATTTTTTGGAAGATAACAAATGTCTCAAGGCTTAAAAAGTGTTTCCAAACTGTATGTATATACAGTATATATACGATGAATTGTCTCAATCATCTTCGATTAAATAAAAAATTCAAAATACTGTATAAAAGAAAATTTTCTCATTTTAAACCTGATCTGCTTTAAATTTCGTGAAAAACGTCAGATCTTACTGGAATACTGTAACATGAAATACTGGAATAAAAAATACATGAGCAGGAGCTCTTATCCATTTACAACGATATGTTCACTGAAATAGAGCAACATTATTTCCGTAAAAATATTAGCATATCTGTTCGCTTAGGATTCTGAATGCTTCACAAGTTAAATTTTTCCATTATTGTGCCAATTAGAAAAAATTCTCTGGCCCATGCACATGGTGAAGGCCAACAATTTTTGTGGCTATATTGAATTGACCACCACAGGAGAAAATTACCTTGTTGAAATTATATATTTTTTAAAATGGTTTCTGAGGGGAAAATGCTCGGACCTAAACAAAATTCTCGGTAACGAGATACGTTGAAACAAATTTTTACTGTAATTTAAAACAAGCCACAATTAAAAATTCCGCCGAAGGGTTTCGGCAGTGATTTTCTCAAAAAATGTCAATGTATTTGAGAACCTCATCAATGATTATACACAGAACGTCTTCGCCTAATACAGAAAAAATGCCTCAGGATAGCACTTAAATGCAAAGCACACTGAAGAAAAACGGACTCACTTCAAGAATTGTCTTTCGAGTCGCATGTATCTTCATAACTTGCATCGCCCACGCGAGCAAGTTCTCATTACGCGGGACGCGAACACGTTCGTGCTTCAGGCGTCCGACTCGGAAGTCCGCTTGAAGCTCATCACCGACTCGACGAGCCGCAGCGGCACCAGAAACACCGACGCCACCTAAGCCGCGGCCTCGTTCCAGCATAGCTTCACGCTGGTTTTGCAACCATACGATGGAGCTGAGAATATAGAAGAAGAGTTGAAAAAATAAGTATCGATATTTTAATGAAGGATGCGAAGTCGCACGCGTCAAGTTCGTTTCACACAAATCGTCATCTAATTTTTTTTCCAAAGCACAAAGCTTAAGCTGACGGGCACGGGCTGCATAAAACAAAGTATCTGCTGAAATATGAAAACTTGAGACGCCTATCGCACAAGACACTTCGGGGTGGATATTTTTAGCGAAAAAAGCAACTCGATCAAAAATGAATATATTCAAACTTACGATTATCTGGGTTTCAATCGTACGTTCAATCAACAGTGTCTAATTATTCAACCAGCGGAAACCAGCACGAATTTCAACCTCAATTTTCAGTTGCTTCATTAGAACAAATACATTTTCCCAATAATAGATATTTTTCGGATTGCTGGTGTTATCAAGTCAGGTAGCGGTTCAAAACATCTAGATTACGTATTCATGTACAACCATTTTTTGCAAGCGCCCGATTATTCCGCGAATCGTTGGTTTTTTTTTAAATTGCAGAATAATGTAAAAAAAAAGAGAATTAACTCAGCCTGACTCAACTTTCAATATTGTAGATGGTTCTTCACATCTTTAAAATACTGTACAGCGCATGAAGATATACAGGCGAGAAAAATTATGACCGCTCAAGAGTATGAGCGATAAAAGAATTTCTCAGAAGTCTTGCAAGTATTTATTATAGGAATTATGGCGAACACCTTGCAATAATCTGTAAAGTCTTTCTATCTTGATTCTATCAAGTCTTTTATAAACGATCTAGAGCAGTACTAACCGACAGGGTCCAAAGGCAGTGCACGAAAAGAACTGTTGACGAGTTTCAAACGGGAAAATCATCGGAGTCGTTGAAGTCAAGTACGTGGTCCATAAGGGCAAGGCTCCAGTTGACAAGACCAACGGATCCTGAACCTGCTGCAAAAGCTTGTAGCATATTTTCTTGCTCAGAAACTCGTCCTTCGCTATCTTCAACTTCATCTTTGCCGGTTCGCCACCAAAATCACGCTCCTCTGTTCCATTGCAAGAAAAAAATGTAAGCAAACAAAAATTACAGAAAGGGTCATTACGTCATAATTCAGTGAAATTCGAATTAATTAGATTCGGTAATAACCTAATCCAGCACTGTCACCAGAGTGATCCAACGACAAGCTGTAGAGATATCGCAGTAGTTGAAGGACGTGATCAGGAGTGGTTTCCTCCTGCACCTCGTCGTCTTTCTTGGAAGCTCCCATCGCTTCATTTTTCAGTTCACTGGCAGTTTCAGTTTCACTTTTGCTCTCGAGTTCATCCCCTTTCTCTTGATAAACGAGACTGTCGAGAATAACAATGAAAAACGTTTCACGATGAATAGGTGAGAAATAAACCTTATTTTCGTTCTTTTAATGACATCTTTTCAAATGATTAATTATACTCACGTATAGGTAGGCTCCCAAATGTGACGGTAAAAATCTGGTTTCGGTGCATTTCGCATAGCACCATTTACTGCCGCATGAGCCAGTGTTTGCACAGCCTTGAAGATGGTCCATGAGCTCTCGTTCAAATTTATCAAGTTTTCTCCGACCTTCAAAATAATTTGAATGTCATGTCGCGAACCCATCATAAATTATAATCGCACTTCGTTATGACGATTCAGTACCAGTTGCCTACGGCTACCTATTTTTTTCTATTTCACGCTACATCGTCAGTTCAAGGGATTATTCAAATGATTACTTTCAATTCCTCAATTCACGTCGAAAAAAAAAGTTCTCGTTGAAAAAAAAAAAAAAACTTCTCAAATACTTACTCCCCCCAGCCCTGGGCCTTTCAACGACAGCTGGATCTTCGGTAGTGGTGGCAGTGAGCAGTCGACACCCACTGTCTTCGAAGACGAGCTCAAAACTTTGGCCACGGAGTCTAACGACTTCTCCCGGTTACCCTCAGCCCTGCTCGACATTTTCTTGGAAGATGTCATCACCAAGTCATGATCGCTCGGCGAGGGAATGTCTAGATCCGCAGTCTGGTTGACATTCGTACGACCGGGTCGAGGGTCAAATGCGGGAATCAGGGCAGAAAATTGCCGTTTCAGCACGAAGTCTTCATCCCAAACGCGTTTCCGACAGTTGACGGGCCCTAAAGATAACATCCGCAAACTATGAAATAATGAACACCTTAATCCGTATTTAATTCCATAAAATCGCAGAAAATTCAATGACTTTTAGCCTTTGTAATTGATTTTTATATATTTAATTTTTTTTTACGTACACTTCCATACCTTGTGTCCACTGACACCGCGGTTTCCTTTGCCACTACACAAATGCTGACAAAGTCGCCTTTGTTTTAATAGGTTTGTTTTAACAAGTTTTATCAAGTAATTTAAGAAATATTAAATGCAGTTACTTATTTTTTTCATGTAAATGATTTAGGTGAAACCTGTAGACATCAAAACTCGAAGCGGAAGCAAAAATAAACGTTGTTTTCGCAGGAAAAAAAAAACTGGAAAAATTCAAACCGGAAGAAGACGACGTAGATGAACCTGTAGCTCGACGCATTTCGGACACACTAGCGTTCCCTCCAAGTTCAAAGCCGTGCTGTAGGGATCCGGCACCCGAATCTTGACCGGAGCAGAACAAGGAGTTTCGGCCAGCTCCAGCGAGAGCAGAAGCATAAGCGAGCGCTGAGGCACCACACGATACGCCCGCCCCTCCGGCCAACTGCTCCATTCGCATCTCCATCGCCAAATCATCATCCTGGAAAGAAATTAAATTTTGCATCGTTGTAACAAAACCCTACTCCAGTGAGAATCAAACTTTTCCATTAACTTGAAAATGTACGAGACATTTTTCATTTGTCACCGTATAACGATTAACTCACAAGAACATCCACAAAGTCATCATTTTTGTCAGGGTCGTTGTCGTTGTCATCTTCGTCGTCATCGTCATCTTCATTCTCATCATCTTCGTCGTCGTCATCCTCGACAACCATCTTGACGTTGTCGTCCTCAATCGCCTGAAGCTCGGCTAGTAGACTCACCGATTGACAACAAGTGTCCATCAGATCCTAGAAAAAAAATGTCATGGTAAATCGATCAAAACACAAAAGAAAACTTTTGGTTTTTACTGAGGACATACCTGATCACTGTCGCTGGATGTAGAAGCAACTGACGGCGTGAATCCATCGCCATGAGCCGACGACACAACGGATGGTGCGGATGTAGAAGATGCCACACCGATTCCTTGTTGAGAAGATGGCCGCTTGATAGCCTTCAACTGACAGCATCCTGAACTCGCGACATGTGGACTAGCAGCCATTTGTTCCTCGTACAGTGACTCTGCCAGACTAGGTGCGCTCTGCGCGGCGCTCATAGTATTGTCTTAAAGGTAAAAAATTGATTCAGATCGCGTTCAAAATTCAACAGGTATAAATATACACTCTTAAGCAAGTTTTAAAAAATCTATCACCAAATCACTTTCTTTTGTTACCGCCTGGGTCACTTTCTTTTGTTACCATCCGTGGAACATTTTCTGAAAATCAGTGCAGAATTTCTGTGCCATCCAGTATTAATCTATTAGGCGTCGTTTTACGGCGCCACAGAAAAATCGACATTCTCGGGTGCTTAAAAATTTCAATGAAATGCACTCGAAGTGGAAATTGACACATCAATGAATTACAGGAAAATTTCAGAGCGCTGGACGAAGAAAATATTCTGCATCCAATGAACAAGGAATTCTCATTAAACTCCCCATTCTGCAGCATCCCAAAGACTGCAAAAACAAAAATTTATTACGAACCCAGTGTATTACAGCATTCCGAAAATTTTAGATTAGACGAGGCGAAATCCAGTACCAAAGCTTTTCAAGTTATGCTTAGCATCATCACGATATCATTATCCATGCGGAAGCGGAATTTCAAAGACTTCGTGATCAAGAATAAAAAAGCATTATTCGTCAGGGAAAAATTAAATCAACTGTCCAGAAATCTCACCGAAATTTTTCGAAAAAGTGTCTCCAGATGCTGAAACTGGTGTTGACACATGAGATTGGCTTTGAACTGGAGAAGAAGTAGCATCCGGAGAAACATCCAGCAAAACTAGAGATGCGGTCGCACCTCCGTCACCATTCAACGAATACTGACTTGCTTCGACTCCCTCAGCAACGTCAATTTTATCATCGGCATTGACCGCGATCTTCTGAAAATAACATTTTACGGGGGTTTAATTAAATATCAGAAGCGAAAACGGTGGTTCGAATTTCAGAAAATGAGCACAGTCACATTCATAAATACCGTACTTGCTCAAGTACCACGCGCACCTTTTTTCACCAAAAAAATAGGCAAAAAATGAAGTGCGCGTCATGGTCAGGTAAAACATTTCCAGTAATTTTTGTCTTCCTTTTTTCTACTCGCTTGAAATAATTTTTAAAGCTTCTACTTAATTTTCAAACGAATTATTTGTTTCACATACGAAGAAACGTCAACATCGAAGTCAACTTTTAAATGAGCTTGTACTTAGATTTTTACTCCATGTATTTTTTTAAATATCTTACGAATTTTGAGATTGAAAGCTTAAGAAGCGTGTCTTTTGCGGGTATAGAATTTTCTCCCACATTTTAGCTAAAGAACTAAGGTACACGTCCAACACGAGGGCGCGTGATACTCGAGTAAATACGGTATTCCGACAGATTCGATCTAATGAATGAAACATCAAGCGCAACTCGTAATATTGAGTAAAATGAACCCAATGGTCAACAGACACACTTACGGACGCTTCCTTGATATCAATGTTTTCAAATCCATCAACACTGCCTTCGTCTTGATCGGCAAATTGGAAACAGGCCGGCGGCGCGGGAGCATCACTCTGAGCATTCATCGGCGGCACAAAGGAATATCCACCACTGCTGATGCTTGACACGCCGTCGCCTTCATTCTTCGTAACGTGTATCACTGTAGACCCACGTCGATCCAGAGAAGTATCACCAAACGCGTGTGGCTGTTTGGCGCATGCTTCCAAGAAGGGTTTCGTTTGCTCGAGAGCCAATGCCAAACTCGGGTCTTTGGTTTTGCTGGAAACGACTCGTATCGGCTTGGCAGGTCTCAGTTGAGCCAGCAGCGCTGCATCAGTTCCGGCACGAGGAGGCGGAACTAAACCTGGAAGCAATATCAGTCATGAGAGATTAAATGAATCCGAGGTATTGCAGCGAAAATCACTACCCTAATCTGCTTTATCGTGATGAAAATTAGTCATCTGAACTAGAAGAAATATTTATTGAACGATCGACCGGGACTTCTTCAATGAGACGTCGCGTCTTCAATTGAAAAAAAAATACCTTAACATCGAAAGATAGCCAGAGGCCTCAATTAGAATTCAACTTTACATATGCCGGCATTACTTTTTTGAAAATTCTTTAAAATATTTCCACCTAGAAATATCTGAATGTTTCCACTATTGCGACTGCAGATCTGTGAATGGATAAAACTTGAGTCGGTTCTCACCAGATGCAGCAGCCCCGGTCATCGCCAAGTTTCGGTCATTATACAAAGCTACTGTCGAAGACGCTGTGTCCTGTCGTCGGCCTGAACTTTGACTCTCTCGACTAGAACCGCTTCCCACTTTGAAAGCTCCCGCGTAACTCAAGAAACGTTTCAGCCTCGAGGCACGAATCAGTTCTCGCTCTGGTGCAGGATTCGACGACCTACTACTTCCCCGGGTTCCCCCTGCGCTCAAACTCTCGACCACCTTGAATTACACAAGAGACACACAATTTCATGATACAGTACTTGGCACCAACAAACATTTTCACAATGATAAGAAAGGAATATAAATGAAGATGGAGCGAAGAGGGAAAAGTTGTGCGGTAGACACAAGTGACTCAATGGGGTCAATAATTTATTCAGAATATAATCAAAAGAACGTAAACAACTAGGTGCTCAACATTTCCACTGGTACAGTCCTTCTCCGTCAACTCATTCGTACACCCTGATTAACGATAAATTATGAAAATCCACTCTTTGAACGATGAAGCGATGTAGAAGACTATTGAAAAATTGCTGACAGGAAAATTATCACGGGGCTTTAAAAAAAACGGTTTTGAATGTTTCAAAAGATGCACTAATAAAAGGAGTCCACAAAATTTCTGTGCATTAAAATTTTTAAAATGTGTAATTCCCTTATCAAATTCTCAGATATTACGAGAATAAGGTACTGTACGTTTAAACAGGGGTAGGTGTCGCTTATATTCTGGGATGCATTTTAATTTCGTGAATGCTTATTTTTTGTGACTTAACAAGACAGGCTTCTTTTGTATTGTTCCTGCTACCCGCAATTCTCAAACTTTTCTCACGTCATCACAACTCAATGAATATGAATTTTACAAAGAAATCGAAAAAATAAAAAAATATTCGGTAATTCACAGCACAGTAATTTTTTTTAAACCCCCGAAAGGAGAAGAAAAAATTGTGAAATACAAATCCTTTTGATGGTTCCAAAAAAATTCCAACGAATAGATCAAAGAAATACTCAAATGACCAAAATTCTTGAAAAATTACGACCCGCTCGGTCAGGTGTGTTTTACCTGAGAAATTGAACTCAGAACAGAGTTGAAAGCTGCGTTGGTCGTGAGGACTCCAACGGTCGGCGTATCCGCCAAAGTAGGAGAGGCGTCCCCGCCGTCATTGCTCACCTTTCCCACGGCGGCCTCGACACTCGACTCACTGCTTGCACCGCGATCGCGTTCCCGCACCCGCAGATCCGCACGCCGACATTCTTCCAAATGCGCTTCGGCCTCCGTCATGGCGTCCACAAAGGCGACCCATTCAGAAGGAGACACCGTATGGTTCAGCGCCGCCGCACCCGATGCAGCCGCATTCATGCGGTTCAGCGCTCCTTCTCGCAAGGTTAGATTCTATGGAATATTAAGTTATGTACATGAACCTCCACATAATCTCATTTCAATTTCTTAATCACGAAATTGGGCTTTAGATCATGAACTCATCAGGTTTTTTGTTTGAACGTGTATTAGAGCGGAGAAAACATGAGCGATAGAAGCAACAAATGAAATGAAATCGAAATATTGACATCTAGAACCCTTCTGTCATGAAAATTCGGGTTTCGAGATTTTAATAGAAAAAACAGCGCAGGTTCATTCAAGAATAAACTTTTCAAGCATCAAAGAGAGATAGATCGACACAAATCCATAATACTATGTAAAGAATCGGAATATACTGCAGTTTACTCAGGAATGAATCGGCATGGGTTCCAAAAATAAAAACGTGGGTCCTACTTCTACATTTCGTACCAATTTTATTTTTCGCAATCCCTCTTTAATTCTTTAGCATTATCATTTATTTCGTAGAGGTACAGTAATAACACGCCATTTCACGGCATTCCAATGCATTGGTTCGGTCCTCTTAGTATCAGGTGGGCTTTTAAGCCGTTCACTAATCTTTGTTCACCTGGGTGATGGAACTCAGGACGGAGTCTGCGGCGCCGACGTCCGCATACGGTAGATTATCCGGTAATCCAGCTAGAACGGAGTCAGCAAGATGATTTCGTAGCACTCCAGCATCCGTTCGTGAAGTCACGCCACGGCCCATCCCACGCGACGCGGACGAAGATGACGTTGACTGCACTGCTGACGACGGGCCTTCCTGAAGCAATGCTGCGTTCCGTGCCAACGCCAATACATGCTCGGCAACCATTTCCGCGGCATTCTGGTTGAGATCATTTAAAATTGTAAGAATTTTCAATTATAAACGAGCGTCGATAAATCACTTACCACCGATGTCCCAGATGATGCTCTATTAGGATCTGTGGAAAACAGAAGTAGGATTCCAACATATTATCAGACTTCATTGATTCTCTTCAACCATTCATTTAATCAATTATGGAGTTGAAAAGTCATCCTGTTGGAGAGACTTGTGAGAAACGATGGTCACTCGCACAGCAGAAGAAAGACTTTTACAAAATTTGTTACAAAAATAAAACCCTCGAAGGAAATTTATTTGATCCTTTCCTTCGACCAATTTTAAAACGAAGCAGCAGTTACGCGGAGGATTTTATGAAGAAAAATTAAAAACCATCAAAATTACTGTATCAAGCATATAAATACGGCAAATGAAAAGCATAGCATTGATTCGAATTTGAGAGACATCGCCTTTCCCGTGACGCTTTTTTATTTTGCGTGTATATCTGGATGGATCGCGGCTACTTCATTAGAAAAAGATGAACGAATAGGTAAAAACCCAGCTAACTTACCGTAAGATCGCAACGTTCGCGGTCCTGAGGTGTGGGAGGAGCGCGTGTGCCTGGAACGCGCACTAGGCGTGGGAGACGGAATCGGGGAAGGAGACTTTGAATTCGTCTCCCAAATTGACGAACCCGTAGACGGATTTGTCAACGAGAAGAACTGCCCACGGGTCACAGCCACGTTCCCGCGGCGATAATGTCTCGAGGGGAAGTCACGCATCGACATCATTGTGCTTTCAGGCGTGGGCGACGCCAACTTGAGGTCGTACTTGGACTCAGCCCCCATTCGATACGAGTTCGACCCGCCATGGTCCCAAGTGACATCGATCCAACCTGAAAATAAATTAATAATATAGAGACCATCGAAAAAAATTTTAAGGTCTCGCGAATGCCATTAAAATGATGCTCACAATAAAATTTAGCAGGGTTTTGATCGACTTCTCTCCTACGTTTGACTACAAAAAATCAACTCGGAGAATTTTTTTTCTTGAAAATAAATTTGAATTCGTTACTAATTGAGAACAATTCCATTTTGAAAAAGGCACACGAATTTTCCAATTGAACCCACAGAAAATATACGGATGTGAACACGATCAAATTCTTCAAATGATCATATAATATCCGTTTAAATATTTTCGAGACACGCATTTTTTGACTAAAGAATCGATTGCCTTAAGATGTCATCAGATAATTATACATTTATAATACAGTACATGAAAAGTTTGAAACGTGAACTTGAACATTTTTTCAACTCTGTTACATAATGCAATATATCTCATACTTCAATTCAAATTTTGGAGCCTGAGAAAAACTCATACACAAAATGAAAATATGAATTTTTGAAATGTGGCTGCTATGCATTGATTCGTTTGCAAAAGTGAAGAAAGAAAATTGAAAAGCTGTCTACAGTATTTGCCACAAAAAAAATCACCATTGTGAAGATGCCCGGTAACGGTCCCAGTGCCGGGCGGCTTTCCGTCTTGAGTGCGCCATTTCCAGTCCATTCCGCGCACGACACGGGCACCAGGTACCATGGCCCTCAATTGGTGTCTCACCATCCTTCTCTGCCGTCTCAGATTTGCTTCCTGATCCCTCGCAGCCTTGCCCATATCGTCACACACCCCGGTCACAGTACCGTAAACTTCGAATCCTGACAAGGACAAGTAGTGCGTTTGCCCCGACGCATTCTTTCCCGTTAACATGATGCGGATGTGCCGCCAGCCTTGTTTCTCTTCCGCGTAATCCGTCTTCACCTTCTCCAACAATCGGTCCAATTCTTCCTGTCGCACACGGCGTGGAAGCTTTAGTACGCGACCGAAATATATGGTATCTTCTTCTTCTTCGTCCTCAACATCAGGTCTTCGCGGATTCATAACCTTCTGCGGCAAAGACCATGTGTGCGTAGAACCAGGTTCGTTTAATGAAGTGTCATGAGCGTGGTAGTACAAAGAAACCCATTCAATTCCGTCCTTCGAAACCTGTTGAAAAAAAAAATGAATCAAGATCACGTGATAAACAAAGCAAGATCCCCAACGCGCTTTTATAAATACGATTGGTTTCTTTTTTTTAAGGCGCCAGCTTCCATTATAAAGTAAAGTTTCAATATATTTGATCTCGCGAACATAGAATAGGCAGAAAATTTTTTCATCATATAAAAACCGCGAAATTTTTTTCTTTACAATTTAAATGAAAAATTCAATTCTTGCTTCATAAAAGCAAGACATCATTGTCAATTGTTAAAGGATTAGTAACGATTGATAAACATGTTAACGACTAAAGATTGCTTTTTGGGTAGGATTTCTACTGCTCAGTACAGTACTACGAATGGTACCTGAATTGCGCATAGGCTTTGATTTAGACCAAGTTAGATTTTCTCTGAACACAGTAAGAAGCTAACGGACACGTAAGAATCAACATACAGTGATATATGATATGATACAGAGTATGTATAGTAAGAACATACTCTTACTATACAGTACCTGAAATTGCCAATTCCGTAATGCAGATTTCCCATAACCACGCGCATGCCGCAGAGTATAAGCAGTCGGTATCATCCAAACTCCGAGGTCAATGGCAAACCACGACCGACGATCATCGTTTGTGTGTGTATTCAGAGGCGATGGGTCACGACTCAGAATGTCTTCGAGTTTTCCGTAAGGAAGAGCACGGCCCTCGCTACTGCTCAAAATAACGAGACCAACTGACCCAGGATTCACCCAATCCTGAACCATTCTGAAAATTCAAAGCAATAAAATATAGCACGTGAAGTCAGGAAAAATTCCAAAAAGGTGAATGAAAATTATTGCCATCACTGCCCGGTGGAAAAAATAAAATGAAATTCAAAGGGATACTCACTTTCCATTCGTACCGATCCAGTACATCAGCCCACTTTGGTCGAAGTCTCTCTCATAGTTGAAGGTCACTGATCCAGTTTGCTTCAAATATTTGATGAAATGGAACGAGTTTCGATCATAATCGTACCACTGCCGAGCAACCATGCGGAGCAAGAATCGTTCCAGTTGATCAATCGTTGCCAGCGGTTCCATTTTCAAACTTTTTCCACTTCTGTCGACCAAACCAGCTTCTTCTTTAGTTGTTCCGCCATGAGCCGCTATTTCTTTCTTCTCCAGACGGAATCTCAATCTTCGAGTCAACACCTGCGACCAAAAAAAAATGCAATCTTCATCAGTATTACAGTACAGTATTTTCAACAGTTTTCCGTAACATATTCACATGGCGAAAGATTTCCAAATTTAAAAAAAAAAACGTAAATGTTGTCGCAACATAACGGAATTCAAGTCACCTGAAGGCCGTATCCACTTCCGCAGCCAGAATGAGAGTCGTAAAGGTACAACGGAAATTTCTCCACAGACTCCAGCACAGCAATGAGCTTCCTAACCAATGCGGCTCCAGGATTTTTCACTTCATTGGCATTTTCGTCGTTCAACATCAGGTGTTTCGAGAAGCCACACTCCAGATTCACGGAAATCTCGGGCCAATCGGGTCGTTTCTCAGCCAACTCTTTCAACGTCATCTCTGTGAAAAATTCATGGAACAGCATAGCTCTGTCGCGAAGAACTTCCCGCCCTGCACTCGAGTTACGCAAGGACTTCATAGATCCATCTCCGACGAGGGCATAGATCAACACAGGTATTAGTCCACTCGACTGCAATTCGAACGCCGACAGCTTCTGTTCATCTTCACAGAACAACCAGGCAAGTTCGTACAAGGCTTGCCGAAACTTCTCGCGAGCATTTTGACCAGCTCCACTTTCAATGATCTTGTAAGCTATGAGGCATTCCTGAAAGAAAAGAGGCATTAACTTGATGTATGCGTCCATCCTCCATCGACAGCTTGAAGACCGTCCATATTTTAAAAAATTCGAAATTATTTTGACAGCAGTTCTCCGTTATAAACAGAAATGCTGCTCCAAACGTAGACAACCTGACAATAAATATGTGACCAGATTAAAGCAGTTACAAGACAACTCGCACAGCAACAACTCACACAGCCCAACAACTCAGTTTTTCACTAATTTTTCCTTTTTTTAAAATTTATTTTCTGGCGAAAATGTATACTTATACTTTCTATAAATGTAGATTCTCTTTTGTCCTAAATTAGTTGTATGCATTTAAAAAATGGGGTTTGAGAACATAAAAAATGCCATGATAAATTTGCCAAAGGAACAGGATTCTGTTCATCTTAAAATTTTGAATGCTTGTGTTCTCAATCTGGTCAAGGATAATTTTGTCCCCTTTTGTCCTAAATTAATTGCATGCATTTAATGTGAAATTTGTATAAAAAAAATTTGTCTAAATTTTTATAAAATCTAGTCAAGGATAATTTTGTTCTTTGTTTTTCCTAGGAATTGAGCCCCCAGTAATTTGTATGGCTCACAGCAATTTTCCCAATTTTCACGGGGATGTTTATGAAAGAATCATTTTGTGATGCTCAGCATATGGACAAAAAATCCAAAAGACTTCATTTCAACATTCTTTAGTTTTATACTTTGTGTTTTTTATTTCATCTACATAAGAGGATGTTTTCCCATGTGTTTATGCTCTTCTACCATCCAAAACTGAAGGTATGTACAAAAAGATGCTTCGGGTAATGTTTGTTAAAGTTCCTGATTTACAGCCCAAATGCTGCATTGTTGATCACAAGGTGGCTATCAGGAATCTAGTCAAGGATAATTTGTCCTCCATTGTTCTTCCTAGGAATTGAGCCATGAAATCTTTTGGATTTTTTTTCCATATGCTGAGCATCACAAATTATCCTTGACTATATTCTATAAAAATGTATACAATTTTTTATAAAAATTTCATAGTAAATGCATGCAATTAATTTAGGACAAGAGAGGACAAAATTATCTTTGACTAGATTGAAAACACAAGCATTCAAAAATGTAGGATGAACAGAATCCTGTTCCTTTGGCAAATTTATCATGGCATTTTTTATGTTCTCAAACCCCATTTTGTAAATGCATACAATTAATTTAGGACAAAAGAGAATCCACATTTATAGAAAGTATTTTACATTTTTGCCAGAAACTGAATAAAAAAATATAAAAATTATTGAAAAAACTGTGTGAGCTATTGCACTGTGTGAGTTTTTGCTGTGAAAGTCGTCGTGTAATTGATTTAACGTTCAGCACTGTAATGTACATATAAGTTCTAATATCAACATCAATCTCGAAATAAAAAAGGCAGAAATTGTCTAAGACTTCCAACAATGAAAGAGGGCAAATGAAAGGTACGTAGAGGAACAAATAGGTTTACCTGTTCGTAGCAAGCTTCCTCCAAGCAGTTTAGAACCTTCTTCAGAGTAGCAACCACACCTCTCGTACTGTTCTGAGCTACAGCAAAATGCTGCTCCCAGATATCACGAGCTTTCTTACGCACAACCATGTGGACACTTTCTGCCTTGGTTCTAAATTTTCGCACGCCACTTTTGGGCGTTGCTCCGATGCCTGCAGGGGCACTTGACCACACAGGGGGTAGGGTCACATCATGAGTAAAGCTGGTCTCCGAGGAGAATGAATGACGCATTCCTCTGTTTGACTCGAAAATGAAACCAGGGAAGTTCTCACGAAGAATTGTCATTTGCGGCACCACACGGTCCTAGAAGTGAAAAGAAAAAAAATATGCACAATGAAACCTTTATAATACGAGCATCCAATACATCACTTTCACACCCGACCTTTCTTTCTAAAATACTGTACTAGAATGGTGTCGCCAATATTACTATTCCGTAAAAGTCTGATCACTTCATAATTTAATTCTCAGAGAACCTGTTCGACAAAAAATATACTGACAATAGTTTTACGTGGAATGGGCGAGACGGTCGTCGATTAAGTATTATTCAATTAATTATTATTAGTATCATTAGCATTATTTAATTCGTATTATTTAAATTCTTTTTTCATCAGTACTTCTTATTATTGTTCAAAACAAGTTTTTGAACGATTTTTAAAAATTATTTCTCCAGTCTTACCTGAAGACCTCCGGTATTGTGTATAGTGAGCTCTCCATCTTTGCGACACGATAACATCCAATTGCCAACAATGATCGTCACATTCGGCTTGGCAGTCGACAAGATCGGTTCACTAACAATTGGATTCGTTCCTGCTGCCTTCACTACGCCTCCTCGAGCAACTGCCAACTTTTCAGCGAATTCTCCACGATTTTCTAGAAAGGGGAAAACATTTGCTTGTTGAACCTAGGGTTACATACGAATGCTTTTGAGCAATTTTCCCAGAAATTTCCATCAAAAACGACTTATTACTCATACAGATGACTCACCGAGATTGTCGTTCCCATTTTCAGGGCTTCCAGAAGAATACATGGTTGCGAGTTTTCCGTCAATTATGTAACGGAACCAGCCGTTAGATCCATTCGAAAGTTCAATCGCCACAGCATCGGTCCAGAAGAAGAGACCATCGCGAGAACGAACCACTGACCAGTCTTTCCAATGATAAGCCTTGTCACGCAGCATTTCCGTGGCATCTTCCATTGTACATGCGGCTTCCGCAGTCTTTGATTCCGTTTCAGTTGGTTCAGGATGATCCAGTTCGTGTGCCTGAAAATGCATGAAGATACATTTCAGGAGAGGCACAAGTTTCAACATGATCAAGGAAAGACTTCCTCGATTAAACAAAGGTATTGCAAGTATTCATCACCTGTGCATGCACCTATGCAATAGATTTAATAAAAGGTAGCTTATACAGTAAATCTCATTACAACGAAGCCCTTTGAGCCAGTAAAATGTCTTCACTGTAAACAAAATTTCTTTATGAAGTACAGTACAGTAATTCATTCAACAGTATGGCTTTTCACAGGGACCAGAAGCATAGTAAAAAAAATTTTGTTTCCTATCGATGAAAACATCATACATAAATTATGCATACAGATAACTGCATACTTTGTGCATTATTCAAGAGTTTTCAAATGTTCTGTCACCATTGATTGTTTGATTTCCATCACACAGCTAATGCATTATGTACAGTGAGACCCCCACATGCGGACACCTCAACCTGCGGACAATTTGACATAGGGACACTTCTTTTCCCATAAAAAATTAATTAAAAAAGGCCTGACATCAGGACACTGACTCAACATAGGGACATTTTGTGATAAAATTGAAACAAATATTTCTAAAATTGATTCAAGAAAAGTTCTTGTGCATTTCTCTCACCAATTTACCATCCATTTAGCTAATAGAAAAAATTACCTCCAGCATAGAGGGGCTTCTTTCTCTCTTTTTCACTTACATGATATTTTTGTAGAGAATGTCAACATTTCTATGCACTGTACAGAGGTATCAGTTTTCAGTTCCCCAAATGTCCATACTGTATTGTATTGAAATGTATTGATTAAATCAGTTGAAATTGGGAGAAAATTTGTATTTTCATGGAATTATGATGAGTATTTTGTTCATAAAACACCAATTAAAAATTATATAATGTCAGTCTAAGGGAAAATGAGACTCAACTTTGGGACATTTTGACTTGGGGACACTCTTGATGCACTAATTACGTCCGCATCTGGGGGTCTCACTTCTACTTCTCACATATCCCAAGACTTGGCTTGTGAGGGTGACATCTATACTTACAGTTTTCAAGTTTTAAAGATTTTGGAGGGAATTCTAGCAATTCTTGTCCACGTACATAACTCATTTCGCTAGGACTGTTCCGTGACAAACTCACGACATTCGGACAGTGTACTAACCTCCATGACCAGACCATCCGATGAGGCCTCGTCATCAGAATCCGCAGGGAGTGCTATTGCTTTGACTTTCGGAAAAACACCCAATCTTCCGAAATGGTCGACGAATATATCTGCTGCTTTTGTAATCAGATTCTCGATTATATGAAATGCAAGCATCAATCCGTCATCGTCATCCTGAAAATATGTATAGTATCGTTCCATCAGTATTACGAACACCTGACATACAGTACAAGTGAAATCTTGTTCCAGGATACTTTACGAACGTCGACCTCGGAACATATCGATATAGAAGAACTTTTAAAGTTGGCGGTTTTTTCCTCCAACAACGGCAATTGAAATCTAGCTTACCGCCTAGCTAGTAGCTAGAAATCTAACGACAATTACACTTCGTCTTTCAACCCTGAGCATGAATTCAATTTGTAAGATACACGTTGTAGAAGTTGGAAAACATTCTTACCTCGTGATCCAGAACGCCTGAGATGACTTCTACCAGCAGTGTGGGCAGGTCGGTGGTTCCGCCAAGTAACGGACGCTTGATGTCCCCAGAGGCCAGTTCCACTAACATTTCCGCATTGACAGATGAAACTATCTTTTTAATCAAAGCCAGACTCGCCCGTTGTATCGAGTGCACCATTGAGGCTTGATGCAGGTGGGCGAACAACGGCAACAGACGCCTGACATACAACTTCATGATTACTGGATCACCTTTCTCTTTCGTCGCTTCATCCCCATCCCGGTTCTCTTCGAAATTCATAATCCATTCTCCTGCAATTAAGGAAAAATCAGGGTTAAATTCCGCTATAGAGTTCGTTTTTCTTAATTTTTTATAAATCGTGAATGCATGTCCGAAGAACCAACCAGGAGATTGGAGAATCGCTGCAACTTCTCGATGTCCTTGATCACTCCTTTCACGAGCTTTGTCCAGAGGAGTTTTTCCATCTTCATCTCTCAAATCCGGATTCGCACCATGCCGAAGCAAAACTTTTGCGATCAATGGTCGCCCAAAACATGCGGCATAATGTAAAGACGACGATCGCTGACCTGAAAAAAAAACCCGGTCGATATAATAGCAGATTCGATTATTTTTCCTAGATTTATTTGGCATAAAAAAAAATTCATGTCCGAAAAAAAATAACTAGCACACACGAACACAATTTGAACAGCGTTAAGTAAGAATTAGAGGAAATATTTTTTGCACTTACCTTTATTAACATCAGCACCTCGACTGCACAAATACGACACCATTTCGGGGGTTCCAAACGCGGATGCCCAGTTTAGCAGCGTTTGTCCAACATCGTCAGTCAAATTCACTTCCGTTCCTGTAACAATTTACGAAGATTAGTAATAGTAGAAAAAATAATTTGAACAGAACTGGAACCTTGCTCCACAGCTTCGATCAGAGCTTCGGTGTCTTTTGATCGGATGCAGTCAATTAGCTGACGATGGGTCCGTTCTATTCCAGAGGGTGCATCCGCTCTGCGCGTAGACGTTCCGGTAGAGCAACTATTCAAAGCTGGAACTGAGTTGTTCGAAACAGAGCTTTGCGGCAAAGCACGTCGCCCTTCGAAGACTAGCACCAACAACAAATCAACCAGCCTCATCGTGTCCAAAACACACCGTTCGTCTCCTTGCAGGGCTGCTTCGATGGCATCCGGAAGATCGGATTTCAACAATGCCTAATGCAATAGAGAAAAAAATAGAGAAATTAATCATTCTAATGGAGGCAGAGGAGCTTTCAGACGCTTGAATCAGAAAATATCTTTTGGGAACGGAAAATAAAAATTCCTCTAGAGTACGCCCAACAATTCTCAGTAGTAAACTATTTGTTTTATCGTAAGATTTTAGCTTTGATTTCGTTGCTTGAGTTTCGGGTGAGGATTGGTGTGAACTACTTGATCATCAGAAAGGGTTGATCTTAAAATAAAAAATACACTAAATTTTATTTTTCTACCCAGATATTCTTTCATGGGTACAATAACGAAAAAAAGCATCAAACCTCTGTTACGCTCGGCGATCCACGACACAGTGTCGATAGTAGGCTTATCGTCGTTGAAATAGACGCACAAGTTTTCCCTTCATTAGTTGCTGCATTGGCACTCATAAGTGCTAATGCAGTTGAAGACGCTGGTGACGAAGACAGGAAACTGGTTGTCGAAGGCGCGGGGGTTATTCCTGAATGTAGAACTACGCCTCCAGATTGCGGTGGAGTTGACGAAGACGCAGCTGTGCGATTCCCGATTCCGGCTAATTTCATTCTGTTCAACAATTCTTCCATTAGACCCTCTCCTGCGAGGGGTGATGGATCAATTCCTCTTCGGGTGAATCTATCAGCAAGCGATGCAAAGCATCTCAAGGCTCCATCCGCAACCTGCAAAGATGGATCACGATTTACATTCGTCGCACATTTTCACGCTCATGAGATTTCACTGTTCACATCAAAATTATAAAACGAAATCCAAATGTACCGTAATATTATCAATTCTCGTAATATTACAGATGTAAAAAAAAAACTTACATGTGAATCTTCGTGCTTCAGTAAATTGGACAAAGATTTCACAGTTACTGGTAGATCATCATCCTGGGTAGGCTCCATTTTACCACAAAGCCTTGAGACGACTGACATTGCTGAATGGAGTGTATCTTTGTGGATCACGTTCCCATTTGCTCTTATGAAATACAGGACACAATTGAGTCCGCCAGCTTCAAACACAGCTCCTGCTTCCCTGGTGCAGATCAGTTCGAGAACCTACGAAACATAAGAGAAGTTCATACTTCTGCGTAATGGATTCATACCACTCAATCTTAAATTTACCTTGATGCACTGTTCAGCAAGATCTTTGCAGGTTCGGGACTGCGTCACGTCGGATACGACAAGACGATTGCAGATGGCTTTCACAGCCCCTTCCACTGCTACAATGCGACGGGTGCACTCGGCAGAAACATCCAAGTAGTAAGTTATCGCTCTAGCAGTAACCTCGAGGACATTGTCCGGAGCACATTCGTCCAAGAAATTCCGACATAGAGCGGGGAGGAAGGTTCGGGGAGGACAACTAAAATAAACGAAAATTATATCAATATTATATTAATAAAAGGATTCGGTTGCACGAAACTTACCTCTCAAAGCAGCGATCCACATTGTCAGACATCAGGAGGAGCATACACAGCTGTTCCAAGGCGATCAGCTGCATATCTCGCTCTTCTCCTTGCCCCATGCTTAGCCACTCCAACAACGTTTCTGGGTCGACGTCTGCCATGTTTGGCTGCAAGATCAAGGCGCCGCGAACGCGGCACAATCGTGAATACGTCCAGATATGCACTTAAATTTAGCCTTTGCGCAAAAGAAATCAAGGCCTGTGAACTTCAAATGAACACTAAGACTGTACCCCTGATCGCAATCTGATGAAAGGTTTCCGTAATAGAAAATCGCTGCACTCTCATCATTCGGACAAGTGAAAAAAATCGCTCAAATATCAACGCAGCAATACACCAAGCACTCGACAGAACACAACTTCGCCAATCACATACGACCAACAACGAATCACTCCTGAAACACACGCATCTCCCTTCAATCCCGAGGACGGCGAGGCGCAGCACAAGAAACTTCGTTCGGCCAGCATAGACTTGTACATCAGGCCATGAGTCATTCGTAGATATTCAATCACAAAATATCCGTAGTGATTCTTAATTCGACAGAAAAAACACCATACAGCACGCAAGAACCCATGCATCATCGTGTCAAGACATAGGCGACCAACACACGGAGAACCTTCCAGATGCACAACTAACCTGAGCACCACGATCAGCATCAGCTGAGGGAACGCGCAACCTTGACAATGGTGGAAGGAAGTGTTAGAGATACCAACAGAACTAAACTGACAGGCGCGCAGAATCAGGGTGGGTCTTTTGAACATCTCTCAGATATAATCATCCGGAACCGTCCATTATTGGCATACTTGTCCTATTTCTCACCCCCATGAAACGTAGTCGATCTGCTTATTTCATCTAATGAAAATCTCAATTTTTTCAATTCAAAAATCCGCAGATAATCCATCCTGTTGATTGACTGATAGACCTCTTGCACAAATCGAAGTACAGTAGTTCCATAAGTACTACAGTAGTTCATCCTTCAATTAGGTCCCATTTACCCCATGGCATCATACGGCACAGCATACTGTATAACGAATACACCATGCACAGCTCCATGCCGCATCTGGAATTGGAAAATATGACCTCATGTCATATAACTCTCCTGGTCCTGATCAAATTTACTCTGTATGTTTTGGGATAAACACCTTCGGTAGCACATTTCTCCGAATATACTTCGAACTGAAGCCTAGACGACAACGTCTCCTGTACTAACATTTCAGGATCTATGACGAGTTCGACGGTCATGTCACATGTCGCTTCATTCAAATTTCCGGAATGCACAAGGAATAAAACCATAATTTCAGTGAACCAAAGCAACATGTTTATTTCCCATCCCAATTTCATGAAAAATTCACCTAGTTTCCAACATGCAGTCAAATTTCACACACACATTCCAACCGAGCGACAATTCTGCACATCATTCGAATAATGAAGACCAATGCAAGGGAGGTAACAAAAATAGGGTCTGATCTCGCTTAGAGAGGCTCTTAAAACATGTAAATCACCCAGAATGACTTGATTTACCCTTCGGTTTTCTGCTCGGCAGCAACAAAAAAAAAAAAGAATTTACTTCCACAAAGCCAACCAGTTTGCAAAGCACACTTAGTGTAACTCTGACAAATCGATCAATCAATGTACTGGGCTAGCCATCGAAATCCTTCGCCATATCCTTGTCGCTTGAGCACACTACACATGAAGACCTCAAGTGGTCTTCCGCTAAGCTCGGCACGCGACACTTTCCCACGTCCAGTGGTTTGGCCGTATAGCCCGAAATACTGCCTTAGTTCTTCTTCTGATGCTGCTCCTGGTTTATCAATTTTATTCCCCAAAATAAGCACTGGCACAGTTGCTAACTGCTCATCAGTAAGCAGCGAATCAAGCTCAACTTTGCTCTCGGGAAATCTCGTTTTGTCAGCTGCATCAATTAGAAACACTATCGAATCGACGGCAGGAAAATAATCCTTCCAGACGCGACGAGCTTGATGATGGCCACCCAGGTCGAAAGTGGTGAAGCGCATATTTCCAATGGATAATTCTTCTGACGTTGGATGAAGCGTGGGCACGTGCTGCGCCATCCGATCATCCTTCAACATGTGTAGCAAAGTTGTTTTTCCGGCGTTGTCCAATCCGAGGAACAAAAGTTTCCCCGACTTTTTGTACAAGCCCAGATACCCAAGGATCCCCGTAACGCCACCAACTAGAGCTTCCCACAGAAACATTCTGAAGCAATACGGTCAGTTCAATGCGATTAAAATGAATAACGGTGCACATGGATCATGCCATTCTGATATTAATTTCAAATTTTCCTGCAAAAAATAATTAATTCAAGTTTACAGTAGGATCTCGTTATCAATATCAAATACCACGCCCACAAGAAATTCATAAAAACCCAGCCTAGTACTGGAAAACTGATGAAATCTAGCACACACAACACTAGAGACAATCCACGGTAGGAAAGTCATGAAAAAAGGCGATAAGTCACATGAACGCATGAAGCTAAACAGATTTCGACTGAATTTGGCAAACGTTAAATTCCTACGGGGAACGAATGAAATCACTGAAAATCTCATACTACAGACGCACAATTTTGGAACTCAATTTCTCTAGTCTTCACGACGAAATTACACCTCATACTGTTACATAGGTTAACTTGAAGGGCAAATCTAAACAGCTTTTTTTTTCTTCGAAGTACTGACATTATACCAGGAATTAAATTAACCATACACTGCCAAAATTAAATCATTTCGCTAAAATCTAGGTCAAATTTTCCTGGCATGAAAGAAATAATTTAGCGTTCCCGTTCCACGTAATGAGAGCTTAAGCCTGAATCCTTCACACAGCGTCGCGAGAGAAGTGTCTTCACCTCCCACGTTCCGACAAGCTCGCGTTCACTAGAGCCGAAGCGAAAAGGAAGTTACCTCAGCAACCTATGGCATTTGAATCATCGTACAGTAACTAGTTTTCCTCAACAGAGTTACACAGAACTGACAAATAACTTTTACTAGGTCCACAATGCTAACATCGCATGACAAATGCAGACGTTCTACACGTAAGTAGTCCACGTGGACATCAGTCCCACATTTTACTGTTAAGCATCCCCTTTACAAAGAGGTCTCGACTTCGATGACCTGCTGATTACTTCTCGCGACCACACTCGCCTGAATGAAGCGTTCACTGCTGCATGGTGCATTGCTTCCGTTCCGAATCACAAATGGCGTCTCCCGTACATCACGATGAATGACGTGGAGAAAATTTGATGGAGCACCACAGAACTTAAGGGAAAAATGCGAGAAACGTCCCGCTAAATTCCATAAAATACTTACGCGTAATCGCCCAGTTTATGCAAAATATAGGTAATTTTATGCACTGAGAAATGAAACTTATTATTTCTCTATTTCTCAAACGCTAGCGGTCGGGTATGGCATCGCATAGCGCTTTCCCTCCCGTGGCGCATTTCAGTTGTCAACCTTGACCGGACTTCAAATTCTGCATTGGACGTCCCCTTATTCACTGTAGAAGCAATTCTCTAGCAGGAGTGAGATTGCCTCGGGATTCATTGATAATCCGTGAATATGAAGCTCATTCTTGAAAATAAATACGAAACTGATGATAAATAAAAATTAATTTTCCCTTTTAATTTCCACTTTCACATACAATTTTTTTCCAAAACGTAAGAAAATTCACGAAAACTGGGATAATCCGCCGCACGTATCCCAAAAAATAATCTGCGACAACATTTTTCATTTCTGATCAATGATCTATCAAGATGAAAGGCTTTTTGATCATCACATTCCATAACCGCTGAATTAATTCTGCGAATCTAACAAGTTCTACGCCAGATGAGACTCTTAAAACTGAAGATATTTGAGCAACCACTGTCAGCGAAATTTCTGTCAATATCTTCATCTCGGACGGTTGCTCACACATTACCTTCGTTTGGTATTCCAAATATTTTACGCGTTGACTGCTGTGGCTTGCCCAATTTTGAATTTGTATCATTCATTGACTAATCCAGAGGATAAGTCGACTCATCATGAAAACAACCTTCGGCGCAACCGCAAAAACATGAAAAGGAAGTCAAATTTGACCAATATACTCGCTTGACGGAAGGATCGGTAACTTCAACAACCATTATTCTTTTGAGAGAAAAATTGCCTTTCGAATTTTCTCCTCAATTTGAAAGAAATCCACGAATACTTCTGCGGGAACATTTGATATTATGTTCGCGCTAATACATGGAATGATAATCGGATGCAAATAGATAGGGTGTCCAAAAAGTTGTAGTGCAATGGAAAACGACTCAAGTTTGCGTGCATTACCTTAGAATGTTTATACAGTACATACAATCCGGCAATTTTCTTCGTGCAAATTCCGAAATAAACATGTCGAAATGCATAGCATCCCAACAGCAAATCCCGCCAGAGGGTTTTGTAAAAGAGAAATGCTGGCATATTGTCAAATTAATATGCATTTGTAACTATCTGTGATATCTACGTATATTGTTAGAATTCGTTGCTATACTGGACAAAGTGGAGAAACAATTTCGCTTACATCATAGTACGAATTTCTTACCGCACATCATCTTTGTGGACACCCCATAAAGTATACATCCACAGGAAAGAACATGTGAGATATACTAGAAGACGAACATAAAGCATTGAAGTCAAGACAGGATAGGTAAAAGCTCTCAAAAATACGACATACAGCTCACCCGATTCACAATTTTTTGAAGGGCACATCCGCATAGAAATGATTAAAGCCTACGCTCCGTTGCTATCAACGTTTCATATTCGTGAATTATTTTCTGACGCAACATCCAATGTCTTCAGTTTTCAGTTCAAAAATCGAATAGACATTTTCTGCTCAACTTCAGATCTTTCAAGTGATTGGACAAACTCTTCGTAAGAAATGCGTTGATCTCCATCAGCATCCGCTTCATTGATGGTTCGTTCCGCAATACTCGCCAACTGATCTTGGCTGCAAGGGATAAGAGATGACGGGATTGTTTCTTTTGGCTTGAAGACTTTGAAATTTATTCGCGAATTATCCCGTCATTATGAAGATTCTCACCTGATGTTGGCACCAATCAGAAGGTTCAAAACGGATAGCAATTCATCTTTAGATATAAACCCGTCTTCGTCTTGATCGTACATCGAAAATGCGACTGAAATGCAGAAATACAAAATTCATAGACTTCAGTCATAGAAAATGCAACAAAAGAGGGCATTACTCAAAAGCTTTCGAGCAACCATTAACTGAAATTTTAGTTGGATGAAAAACATTTAGTAACAATTCAGCAGTTTTTTTTATGACATCACATTCCGCATAGAACGTGCGCAAAATTATGAATTTGCATATTCGTTTTGTGCACTGGGAAGATTTCCAACAGGAAAGCGTGCAATAGTAGTTCATCTTTCAAACCTTTTTAAGTGGTCTGTCAAATCACAAATATTACGAAGAATTCAGATATTCTGCAAGAAAATGAGATTGTTTATGATTTTATCTCACCTTTAAATTGGTTTTTAAATGTAATTTCAATTTTTACAGTCGACATAAATAGCTAAATTGAACACCTGGTTAACACACTTGCAGTGGATAATTAATTGTGATTCGGGGATTTTCAGAATATTTTTTCATGAACACTTCCTTCAAAGCCTCAAGACCTTCAAGTTAAAACTCACATTTCAACTTGTCATCTTTGGAATTCAGTTTGGGAGGCTTTTTCTCGCTCAAAGGTCTGAACTTTGCCAGTACTCTGACGTACTGGCGGAAATTGACTTGATCTTCGTGGCTCTCCTGAGAAAATAAAGAATTGATTAGTTCTTTCAATGAAAGTTTTGATTTTCAACGACCAACATGGTTATACTAAAATAGTATGGGCAGTGGAACTAGTATAGGGACCGTTTTAATAAAGAAATCTTGTCAAAATCTAACCTATGCAGAATAGAGGTGCAGTAATTATTCGCAAAAGTCGGTAATTTTTATTCTCATTCCCTCTATATGAGTAAAAAAAAGCCCTGGAGAGACCAATATAAAAAATGATGGTTAAAAAATAAATTTCATACTTTGAAAAACGCATTGACGATTCTTTCTCCAACAGGGTTGATGGCGAGTTCCGGAATCCTTAGAAAGTCTTCTCTGCTCAAAGTACCAGTGTCACCTTTGTCTAAGCTTGTGAAACGACTGTAGAGCCTTTCGATTTGACTTGGAGAAACTAGATGAAGATATGATGAAACGTAAATGTTCAAGACTACTTTTTCAAGAATAAATACGGGTACTCACATCCAGTTTCCTCTTGAATTTCGCTTATCTCCTCATCGCGGAGCATAACAGAAGATTTATTCCCCATTTTGCAGCCGAAAAAATAGTAGTAATTACAAGTAGATTCAACAAATTCAGATCTGAAATGAAATTTTAAAATCTTTCAATGGGAATCCATCTATGGAAGAATCAAGCTTGAAGAGACAAATAACGTCCAATAATTCGGAACGATGGGTACACTCGAGAATACGTGAAAAGGTTGATTTAAATGAGAATTCTAGTAACATTTTACGTTGTGAAGATGAGTTTGATAAAGTCCGCCATTTGAGCGAGATCCACATCGAGGAACTCAGGGTAACCATACTTACCCGAAGACCGAACAAGCATAGGTTGAAGAATAAAAAAGACGCTCAGAAACCCGAAAATATCATAAAATACAAATTCATCACAGCATAATTCGCAATATCTCGAGCTAACGCGAAACAAAAAATAATTTTAGTACATCCATCGTGAACGTGTCAATTTCTCTGCTTCGAATCTATGCTGATCGTGACCGGGCCATCGTTCGTGATATTGACTTCCATCATTGCACCAAAAACGCCATCTAATTATTGGATAACAGAGAATCATTTACCCTCGTCATGCACGGATCAAAATCAGGTGAAACGAAAGAACACAAGCTACAACGTTCAGGAGTTGGTTCGAAGTTCTGCAAATTTTACACTTCAAATTATCCAAGAGCTCAAATTATCCAAGATTATCTTGGTTTATATCATGTCCTTCCCGTTTTTTTCATTCAAATTTCTACGCACATGTTCAAATACACAAAAGATGAAGAGCTTAATGTGTAAAAAACTGCTGGGAATACAACTTCACATTTTCAGGTTTCATGCATTCGGACACAGTTAAAATGATTTACAGCCAAAATTTTGAAGATGTTCGTGATAATGTCGAACATCTGTCGACCCGTTGAAATGAAGCGAATGTTCTTATCGTGACAATCGTGGTGATGATCTAATGCGTGTTCACCGAAATGTTAATTTTCAGGCAAGAATTTGTCCAAGTCGAGGCTGCAAATAACTATAACATACCGTAATTGGACTGTACTTCAAAAATGAATGTAGGCTTTTTTCAAGTACTGCTCATCTAAATTTAGTTTGAAAGATCCCGATTTGGAAGCCTCACGTTCAAAAATAATTTTAGGAACATATCTGAGTTTCCTCACTTCTTGATTTTATCAATACTGTATTTAAAATAAGAAAAATTCTTTTGAATTTTGGAGAGGAGACGTAACAAATTAGATAATATCTCGTATCTTCTGACTTGAAGTCATGCTGAATCATCAAAAAAGAATGTCGAAATCTTCGAACCAACACTTGAACATACGCGTGAAATTTTATCAGATTCCGTGTGTGTTTTCCCCAACCTCGCGAACGAAGGATATAAAATATGGTCATTGATCTGTATGCTTTCTCTCCTAAATTCAAAGCTCATCTTAACACTCCTGACCCGAAGAGCAAAAACGTATTATTTGGAACCTTTAAATGATCAGGCAGCTTATACCATTTCTAGCAATGTAAAAGAAAATTCAACCCGAATTATTGTGTCATAACTGCGGATGAGTCAACAGTGCATGATAATTAAATAGCACGTTATTTTTTAAGAGGAATGCAGAACTCCGTTCATTATTTTCAATTTTTTTCTGCTTCCGCAGGATGGAGACGAGAAAGAGATCATTATAGGAACCACGACGGTAATCCCAATCCCCTTAAATTCCATTATTTTTTTATGACTTCGCAAATGGGTTGACTGCAAAATGAGATCGACATAAAATTTTGAATTTCCACGCACTGCTGAGTCATCCGCAGCTGTTGTGAAACAGTATAGGATTCCGAAGATCAATGAAAACATTCATCAAAAATGTTGCGTTGGTCTACTTAGTTTCGAGACGGTGAAGACGGCACGCGGAATCTGTTCAACCCAGGTATAAATGGGGTTTGTAAGATGATCAAAACTTCACCGTGAAAGCCGACATCGACTTCGAAAACAAACCTTTGATTTTGTCTTGAGAATAGGCTTGCCGCAATTTATTTAAAAAACATGAATAGGCTTCTCTAGCAGGATCCCCTGCCATGCTGTTGTGAAAATCCAGCTTATTTCCTTTGAAAACCGAATGGAGTGTGAACTGACTGACGCACAGGATCTCGTATCCGCCATCTTTCACACTCACGTCCCACCGCTTGCCGGTATCCGCGGATTCGAACAGCCTCGCGTTCAGAATTTTTTTGGCTCTGTGCAAATATATTTTATCAAACAGGTACGTGGACATCCATCTTCGGCATTCACTTACACGTATTCGAAATCCTCTGTTGAATCTTCTCGACTAATCCCCAATAAAACGCAAACACCTTTTTCAATTTCGCTTACGGCTTTTCCGTCAACTGGAAGCCTTGAAAATTTGAAAACCAAGGCGAAAACTAAAAGCAATTTTTCTCACTTACCAACAACGGAAGCTTTCGAGACTCTTTGGATAATCGCTCTCATTTCTGAAATGTTTCAAAAACGCAATCGAATAAAATTGAAACAAAAGACATGACAATAATTCGAGCCAAAATACCGCAAAGTTAGTAACAGCAAAAATGGTATCTTCTTGAGAACATCACATTTCACATCATCAACGATTCCCCTGCCCACGAACACCAACCATTTGAAAAAGATTTGAAATTTTGTTTGCGTCCGCACCCAACATTGAGGAAGATCCGTTAGGAATGCACCATTCTTACGGCAATAAAAAGCACGCAGAAATAAAAGACAACCACAAGTCACCCGCCGGAAGAAGTTTTTCGATCAAACTCGCGGATCCCAGAGCCGACTCTCGACTCTGACAATTATTTCTATTCAATCGTGCAACTATAAAAACTTAAGATCCCTCAAAATAAGAAATTATTACGCTCTGAACTTGATGATTTACGAACAAAGGCGGAATGCAAAAGCACGATCATAATGCAAGCACTCCCTCACTTCACACTTCAAGTGGAACGCCATCATCTAATTCATATTTGAGGTAGCCTACAGATCACCTCTCCGGGCGTGCAAGTCTATCTGCATCAATAATTAAATCACCCAATTCCTATTTTATCATTCAATTCCCAGTTAACATGGAAGTTTCAATCAAGGCCTCGAGTATTTCATATAATTTCGCGATAAACCCATCACGAATACTCCCAGCTTTAACACGTACCTGCCCACAGTACTGTTACAGCTCAACCTGTACCGTTCAGAACAGTACTGTACTAGCTCAATTTACAGAAAACAGACAAAGGAAAATACCTAATACAGTACAGTTTTATGAATTTTTTTCACAAGGAGGATTTCCTTTCAGTCCCTTCAACTTTGTTCTCTCGACATTTTTGCAAGATTTCAAATATTGTATTCCTGAAAACCAATCGCAGTAATTAGTTGATAGACGAAAATAAATGGCGCACTAACAAATGGTGTGGGAATAGCCGAATTTTGCCGCATTAAAGTAGCACTTCAGTACTCTGATTTTCGTTTTTTAAAATCCTAAAATAGAGAACGTTCTCTGTAGGCGAAGCCTATTTTTCGTTGGGAAATGATATGATTTTGCATCACGATCAATGACATTAAATTTGCATCACCCGGCGAAGTTATCAAGGAGGACCTATTAGCGTGCGACACCGGTAAACTTTGACAAAGAACAGCCTGAGATTGCTGGAGTCCAAAAACTTTAGAAAACGCTAGAATTAGATCCACAGTTTCACTGCGCGACATCCAACAGCGCAATCTCGGAATCGTCGTCAACTGTAGAAACTTCTCGTTTAACCGAAGTTTTATCAATATCTCTAGCTTTCACTATCAAATGAACAATAATACCGGTGAAAACGATCACAAGACCCAGCAAATTCAATAACGAAAACTTGCTTTTGTTGATCCGAAAATCGAGCACGAGGGTCAATATCTCCTTCCACACGCCGGCAATTGACAAGGTTAAACTCGAGGTCCGCGCCACCAATAAATATTCAGATAATTCCATAGCAAAGGCGACAAATGCGCCGATCACAACAGAGCCAAGAGTCCCTAATCCAACAGAGGGATTCGCGGCGAATCCTTGCGATGAGGTGACTAATGCCCGACCTTCGACGATAGCGGAAAAAGGTAGGAGTGCTAGCAGCATCCAAGGTTGAACGTGATACTGGAATAATGTACAGCAATTTCGAAACAACACATTTGCGAGAAATTTTCAAAAACGCACCACCATGTCAACGGGGTTATCCAAAGATGACTTAGACTGCATGACAAGTTGAGCGTAGGACCAACGCACACCACTCAAGAAGGATGCAGACAAAACCAGCATGAATCCAAACGCATGGAACTGCGTAGATTCATAATTGAAAAGCACCAATCCAACAGAGATGCAAGCTACTATGATGCCCAATGAGGATCTAAATCAATGACGAACTTTAGATGATACGAGCAAGATGATACAATACCAGTGTATCACTCACTTCGGCTTCTCCAAACCCAGGCATACAGAGAAAATTAAAATGAAGACGATGCTCGTCGACTTGGTCATGGTGTACAGCGACACAGTGATGAATTCAAAACTCCAGTTGGAGAAGCCTATGTCGAACGCGGAAGACACTGCCGTAACAGCGACAGCACGGCAGTAAGTTGGCCACGATAAAACAGTGCGCTCAGTGCATGATGATCTCCTCAGCAATGCAGCTAAACAGAACTTCACGATCACATGACACACGACAACGCTCAGTGGAAACGGGAACTGATGAATGAGTCGTTTTTGGTAAAAGGTGAGTCCAATAGAGAACACGAAATATACGACGATCAGAACACAAGTTTGAAGTCCGACAGCGACCAACGCACGATGCCGAGCGATAGCCACTTTCAAAGACATCACTCGTTTTACGATCTACCCATATTGATAAAATCTGTAGAGAAAACTTGTCATCAACATAAACTAAGATCAAACACAATATACAATAAACAAGATTAATATTTTGGAGAATACAAGTTCATAAGCACCATTTATTTACTTAACAATGAGAGACACTGATGCTCCACGAAGATATTACTGGTACACGTGGACTATTGAAACAATCCACTCGTCAAGTTAATTTCAACTGAAAGCACTTCAGCCGTCGCTCACACCACAGTAACGAAGAGGGTACCGTATTATCAAAGAGGAGATCACAAATTCCCACGATTCCCGGATGGCCCGAGAAATTAAATCAATGACAAACAGGATTGCGCACCTGCGATAACAAGATACAGTATTTGCAGACCAAATGATGTCTGCGCGAGTTGTCATTCGACCGAGAAAACGACCCCGAAGTAAAAAGATGAACACGATCGGGAGTATCCCACCATACTTCCTTCGCTTGCATGCCTGCCTCCTTATCTCGACTTTGATTCTAGAGTACTGTATTTATATCATTGAACTGGACGGGCCAGCATAATCCGTAGCAATTTCCTCTTCAGAATTAAATTACTGCAAATGAATCAACTTCACCATACCGTAATAAACTACTTCGGAATGCGGCGTCGTTGGCTTCCGAACCCGACGTTCAAGTTCGACTTCAACGAACGGAACTTCAACGATTGAAATTCTTGCGAACGTAATTCGAGATATACTGCCAAATATTAATTTACTGGTCCAAAGTTATGGCATCATGACTTCGGTTCTTTTATCTTTCTTCGTAGAAGGAATACGAAGCGACATCTAGCGAGAGCATTTGACCCCCTCACATCTACACGGATCTAAACGCCGCTGCAAATTTGGGTCTCCTTCTCATGCCTACTACATGAAGAGCCTACATTTTGACGCATGAAAAAAACTAACCCGCAGTGCATACCTTCTAATATTTCCAATGTGACATTGGAAAAACCCACCCAAGTTAGAGTATAGAACTTTCTCTGGGAAAAGCCTGTTGCTGGGATTTTCCCGTTGGAAATTCTCTGCTGATCCTCCGTGTCCTTTAAACGGGAACCCTATTTCTTTATTTGAAAAATAAAAGGCTTAAGAAGGTGAGAATCATTGATATAATCCAGACAGGGAATAACACACACTCAGCCTTGGGGATTATTTTTCCTCTTCTGAGCAAAATTTTTCCAAGATTTAATAAAAAACAACAGAATCATCGGACCTGGTTTTTCAGATCTGTTGTGTGCAGTCAAGGAATCTTAAAAAAAGCTGACTTCGTCATCAAATGGTACATTTTTACTTGAGCAACTTGCCAGCAATTTATATTCGTCAATTAACAAATACAATACTATCTATTGGATTCAATACATGAGCAATTTGGATGGATTGAATAACTTGTCATATCAGGGAAGTCAGAATACTATTGTCAGGTAATTCTTTAAATCTATTTGACTAGCACTGGAATTATACAGTTGACCCTTGCTAACTCCAGCCTCTTTAAGTAAACAAGAATCTCCATATATTTCAAGTTTTTCTTATGTCCCTGTCTGAATTCTCCCAGAAACAATGCATTAATGCCTCCCTAACTCAAAACTCTTTCCTCCTCAAACCTCCATAACTGTAAAATTTTATCAAGGTTTAAAACAGCGAAGAGAAAAGCAATGAAAATGCAACTTGGATGTGTTTTGAAAATAAGTCGAAGATTTTTTGGGCAATTGAACCTTTCAAATTTTATCAAGGTTTAAAACAGCAAAGAGAAAAGCAATGAAAATGCAACTTGGATGTGTTTTGAAAATAAGTCAAAGATTTTTTGGGTAATTGAACCTAGCTTGCCTGTTTCATTGGGAAATGGAAGTGCCCGCGTGATAAAACCTACACATATTTAATTTATAACTAAAAAAAAATTCACGGGAGGAAAAAGTGATCAGTTAGCTTCACTGATAAAAAGAACTTTTATTTTCAAAACAAGGCACCAATAAACATCAGCAATCATCATTTACTGGCTCAAAATCTATCTTGTCGGAAACTGTCACAGGAATTCGATCGCCCCACTCGGATAGTTTCGCATACCTCCACAGATCTCTTTTGAGTCCTTCTGTTTTCCCTCGAGAAGCAGTAACTTCCCTCAAGTTACCATCCGGACAACACAGACGAAGAACGGCATGCCTATGCCTCCGTAAAGTCGGCGCCAACAACCGAGACATCCGTTCTTCTGCGGGCATTTTTGAAATCAAGACTCGTGAACAATAACACGAATAAGCTGCAACATCTTACCTTTTTGAGAACAGGCATTCGTTCCAGCATCCGGTTTTCGGAAGATTAAATAAGAATACTTTTCCACGCCTGAATTCGCATCACCCATTGACGCTCTCGCGAAAGAGAACCCCTTAAAAGGTGCCCCAAACGAACACGGGATGGAAGCATCGGAATTCAATCTCGGACATTGATGCGAATGCGGACAAGGGGCAACTAATTCTGCTCCAACGTCCAGCAAATGCTGCCGTATCCGGTTAAGAGACAGAAATCCTGATCTCGAACCTGATTCAATAATAACCAAGTACTTCCCAGTCTTTTCCCACAGAATAGGAAGGGTACGTTTCACGAGTTCGCCATTTTCGGAAAGGATGGATTTCGTTGTGTGCGAGGAAACCACAATATCGAACTGTGGCTCCGAACACGCTGGTAGAAACTGGCGGTAGAATAAACTTTTCCGCTTTGATCTGCAAAAGAATGAGAGAACAAAACAGACGTAAGACATATCGGACCTTTTTACTTGGGTTGGTTCAAGAGTTTCGCCAATCTTACATTTCTTGCCTTCTGGATAAGCAAAATGGAGAACTTTCCGATGCACCGATGTTAAATCGTTCTTTTCTTTTCTCATCCAATTTTTAAGTTTCCATATTGCATCGGAGAAAAGAAAAAGTTTAACATTATCAACATCCCTCCTTTTGGGACTAACGTTTATGCAATTTTAAATATATATAAAATATGCACGCGTTGTCTCACTCCCGGGGGTCTAGGATAATGTGATTTTTTTTTCTTCAGATTTTTAAAATTTTTTTCAAGACATTACATAATGAAGAGTGACCTTCTGGATATGGGCCGAGATTTTTCACAGCAAGGTGTAAATATCTCATGAGAGTTGAAAAATTGAAATTTTGTTTCCACGTAAAATAATATGTTACCCATGATTGGTGAGTTTTTAAATTGTCAGTTAATTTATCAATCATCCGAATGAAGAGTTGATAACTTATTTGTTCGTTCAGCTGATTAAAAAACTGCAGAAATAAAATACAACCATAAGCCACCAAATAAACTAATTTTAATGCACAAAAATTACCCAAGACAAGGTATTATAAATTTTTTAACCTGGTTCCGATTCGGGGTTCGCAAAGATGAGCTAGAAAATCAGTTGAGCGCAGGTAATAGGAACGAAGTTAAGGTGATTCACCAGCATTGCGAGAAAACTGTTCCTTTTACGAATTTAATATGTACTGTACTGACAAAACGGTTGTACCAGCCTTCACATTTTTAAGGTTCGAATTCAAGCGTAGAACTCACTCGACACCCTCGAAAAAATCGTCGGGCAAAAATTTCTCAGCCAAATCCAGCATGTTCTTGTTGAATTCGACGCAAAACATTTCCTCAAGTTCCGGCCAATGGTGGTATGCGGCCCACAACACCGTATTCATCTTGCTTCCGCAATCAAAAATCGATTTGGGCTTCCATTCAGGCTCATGGGACATCAGCTCAAGGAACACCGAGGAAACAATCGAAGCTTCAGTCGGGAAACGCGCAATCAAATACATCAGGCAATTATGAAGGCTGACATCCATTTTAAACGCATGTCGATGACGATCGTGCTTCTTCAAGTAAGGCAGTGCAGTTTTTGAAAGACTTTCCACGGTGTGTCCACTGTCAGTAATTATATTGGCTGCCTTCTGCTCAATGCCATCGCACAGACGAAACGGCTGAAACGAATCAGGTAAATGACGGGATAGAAAATGGACCTATGGGAAGAACGTTAATTCGTCGAACACAGGTTTTCCCTCCCTAAAGCAGCTTATGACACTAATTCTGAAGCATCAATGACAATTCAATCCTACACCAAACCAATTCGATCCACTAATCCAACCGATATTATTCGAAATAAGCCAATCCAACATTTTCTGATTGATCTTATAAACCTTGAAAATTCCTTTACAGTCTTCAATTCTTCATCACCAAGCCTAATGCAACTAAATTTTCCTTCGTACTGTACCAGGTTTATCCAAAAACAAGACCGGCTTACATTTTCTTTCCTAAATTACAACAATGGACCAAAACTACAATCGAAGAGATTATCATTTATCAATAAGAATATATCGTCAAAATTTAAACTTCGAATGTGTAACAGAATTTTGAAGTCCAAGAAAACTGAAGATAAAGAATTCCATCTGATGAACAGAAAAAATATTCGGAAATCCACAGAATGTTAGCAAGGAAACCAAGGAATGGATTGAATACGTATGGACTCCGTCTGTAACAATTTTTTCTGTACAATATTACGATTTATTTTTTGGTCCCGTAGGGTTCTCTCCTCATAATACAGGGGTTCTCTACAGATAATTTGTTTATGGCTAATTTGAATTACTGTACGTTGTAGGGAGAGTCCACTATTGGTATATATTATCGGCGAGGCCTCAATTTGTGGAGGAATCATGTTCAAAGCAGCGTTAAAAATTTTACTGTAACATAGGCTTTCAATAAATCACTTTCCATTTTTTGAAAAGAAAAAAAATAGCACTACGAATGTTGGGCCAAGATGGCTGAACAGTATTGACAAGAAGCGCTTGTACCTCCAACTAGGACAAACCCAGGGAAATTTTTGAACGCAGAAGACTCCTGGTAGATTTTTCTACGATTCTGATCGAAGTTTTCCTGAAAATATCAAGAGCATACCTTTTTTCGGGACTTGCGCTCAGTCGGTTGATGATTTTTCCAGAGTTCTGCGCGAGATGGCAGCAACTGAGTGTGTATGCATCGAACAAGGACGCGATTCATTTTCGCACAAAATCTCTCCTAAAATGCGAACAGAAAGCTGGACGGAAAAATCAACTCGCAAACGTGCCAATAGTATAAAAAAATAATGAAGATTGAAGCATACAAGATGAAAATGTACTGTATTAAAAACCCTCAGGGATTCGTAAAACTGAATACGCGATCATTCCGCGCTAACTTCAAGATCACTTCATGATTTCAATTTCTTCACACAGCCATTTCCATGCTGATTTTTGGATGAGGATCATAGTTCTGCACCTCGAAATCTTCGTACTTGAAGTCGTCGATACTTTCAATCTTCTCTCGAGTTATCACAAGTTTCGGAAAGGGTCTGGGCTGTCGAGTCAATTGCTCTTTCAAGGGCTCAACATGGTTCACGTACACGTGGGCATCTCCTATCGTATGCACGAAGTCTCCAGTCTGAAATCGAGAGAAGGTGATGTCACCTTCGCAGATTCATTTGAAAACATACGAATACCCCATATTTAAGACGTTGAGTTGAAAACTCCTTAAAAACAATAATCCTGATCTGATGACATACTGCACAACCGTATTTATTTTGGAACCTTTTCTCAAAATTGAGAGGGAAAATCGGGTGCGCATTATGTGAAACATTTTTTCCAGTGAAAATAAATTTTTGAAAAGTTTTAAAAGTTTGGGTTTTTTTAATATTTGATTCCAATGGAGAATGTACGACCAATTTCAATAGAAAAACTTATTCTGTTGGAAACGATTGGAAATTTGTTGAATTCAGGATCAATTCATGGTGTTATTATTTTTCAAATACTGTACTTTATTTCAATTTCAGGGTAACTAAAAAAGGGGGTGCGCGTCTCACTCATGGATACAATTTTATAAGAAAAAAAAAAAAGTGACTATAAAACCCTGTTGCGCGTCTTACTTGAGGGCGTGTGGTACTCGAGTAAATACGATACGTTAGTAATTTAAAATATGCGCATTTTTGAAGACCACAGGAACTATAAATGTGACGTGTCAAACTAAAAGATCATTGCTTCCCCGACGCATTTTGATTTTTCGTTGCGTCAAATAAAAAAAGGCGCTTACTTCCGCGGTCAATTATTCGAAAATTCACGACAAGATTTAGAAATACTGTACTGTACAAATAAATCTTCAAACCTTCAAACCAACAGTGGCGGCGATCATATGCGTCAACGCAGCGTAACTCGCAACGTTGAACGGCACCCCAAGCCCCATATCCGCCGATCGCTGATACAACCCGCAACTGAGCTCTCCGTTGGCAACGTAAAACTGCGACAACAGATGACAAGGCGGCAACGCCATCTTGTCTATGTCCGGCACATGCCACGCAGACAGCAAAATTCTCCTGGAGTCCGGGTCTTTCTTCAACAGATCGATCACATTCTGCAACTGGTCCACACCTTGACCGGAATAGTCATGATGCATGTCCAGGTATTCGGCTCCACAGTGACGCCATTGAAATCCGTACACAGGCCCGAGATCCCCTTCGTCTCGGTCAGCGAATCCGAGCGAGTCCAGGAATTCTCGGGATGAGTTGCCGTCCCAGATCCGGACACCGTCCTTCTGCAATTCTCGGGCGTCCGTGGAGCCTCGAATGAACCACAGCAGTTCCTTCAAGACACCTTTCCAGTATACTCGCTTGGTCGTGAATAACGGCAAGGTTCCTTTGGTAAATTTATGACAAGAATACAAGGAGTCTAAAATAAGTATCGGAAAAGGTGAGCATCCCGAAACCACGCGTTTCGACGATAAGAAAAAGCAGGCGCAAAATAAGTACTTCATCAACTTTTAAAAATCATACTCGATTTCTTGGTACAAATGCCTCGTTCAGAGAAACTCAGATGACTAGCTTCGCTAACCTCAACTAAATCTCATCTTCGATAGGAACCCCTGTACCTTATAACGGGCCAAATTACGAGTAACATCGTCTTGGAATGCAAATTTAGAAGTTACCCGCTTACACGACAGAAATATTTCTTAATGAAAACTTCAGCCTGATGAGAGTTGTTCCGAGGAGAAAAAGAACTGTCGTAAAATTTAATTAGGATTTTTCTACTGCTGAATTGACGGTGTCAATTTCTTCTCTACTACTCGAATTTATGCAAGTTCCACGCTCTTTTTTATAGAGAGAAAAAAGAGGGTGCACGTCATGTACAGGTATAACATTTTCAAATATTGGTGCACATTAAATTTCATTCTCTTCAGAAATTTTTGAACTAAGTTTAAAACATTCATTGGAGAAGTGTAAAAATAACATTCATTTTTTTATAAAATTCAAGCCAGAATTCAATGTCTGATTTGTTTTATGGTCAAAATACAGCAATTATCAATCACTAAACGGGGGATAAGAGTCTTACTTAGGGATACATTTTTATCCAAATTTTAGGATGAGAAAATCAGGTGCACGTCTTACTCAAGGGAACAAGGAATCCGGTTCTTTAGTACGTGCGGGGTTGGTTCTCTGCGGATCTGGAGTAGGTGCCGCACACATACGGCAGGAATGCGGACTGAAATAAAATATTTCAAGCATATGATTTGCCGTACCTGGGTGTCACCAATGCCATTTTTTTTTTAAATGAGTTCAGAACGACTTGAGAAAATAATACAGTACTAGAAGCTCGACTTATCGAGATCTTCCCTCAAAAAAGATTTATTCTTTCACCTCGTTGATTTTAGAAACACTCGACTGAGTTGCAAATGGTGAAATGGAGAGCGAGCACACTTACCATCCCTCAGATTGAACCGCATCTGAACACCGAAGATTGAAAGAGTGCCGGTGCCAGTTCTGTCGTTCTTCTTTGTGCCAGTATTAATTATCCTTCTAACACAGTCCAGATATTGATATTCATCGTGTTCCCGCGAGACACAATCTCCGTTCATTTTCTCGAACTTCGCAACGCGAGAACTATACTGCAAACCCAGAAGGAATATGATCGTAAGACATTTTTCCAAATCACAAAAAACAATCTTTCCTTTCGTAACGCTGATGCAGGATACGAGTGAAGAACAAGCAAACCACAGTTCTCAAGGTTTGGCCTTTTGAATCATGAAGCAATATAAAATCGACAGGCGCCTGTCAGCAAGCATATCACACACACGCGAAAAGAGCTACGTCTCTAGAAAACCAGAACGCACCGAATGAGCCACGCGTGGACGAAAACATCAGTACATGTCGTGAAGCCGGGAATTCAAGGGAGCTCTGATTTTTTCCAAATTTTTTGCGATGGTATCGTGCAACTCCGCGTAACTGTCGCGAGACACTATTAGTGACCTTCGCAAGTGCCGATAATGCTTTTCATCCACTTCTTCGACGACTCGGCGCAGATCTTCCAACTGAGGATGCTTCATGACCTAACAATTGAAATTAATTATGCAAAAATCACGAACGAGTCGCTCATGAAGTCAATTTTTTTTCAATAAGGTGGACTTATGAAACAATATTCACGAGGTGGAAAAATAATTTGTTTCATAGATCGCAGTAGAGGAGACATTGAAAAAATGAATTCATCGACAGGAGGTTTACAAAAATTTTTTTGCACTAAAACTATTGTTGAAGACAAAATTGTTGACGAGCGACAAAAACTTACCTTTGCCGTAGCAGCTGCTCGTTTCACGTGGTAGTTGGAAATCTTTGTATAAATCTGACTGATCTGAGTTTCAATTTCGCGAATAACCTCTATGGCATCAATTTGGATACTGACGCCGAAGTTATTTCCATCCTGCATTTTTGGCACCAAAAAAGATATCCAGGTTCTGATCTGCGAGATGGAGGGAGGAAGTCTTCACAAAATTGAAAATACGAGAAAAAAAAAACACTTACCAAATTTGTTTCATCCAGAAGTTGGATTAAAATCGGTTTCAGCTTCTCGTTCAAATCAACCAACTTCGTATTGCACGGAGCAGGACCATTTGGTAAAATATAGATTTTACAACACGACAAATCATCAGAAACCTCAGCCTCTTCGCAGTTTGACCTTAGAATTGAAAGAAACCAAGATGGAGCAAAAGGGTTTATTCCCCAATAATATCAAATACAACATCGTCTACACTTACTCTTCATCCAGGGGTGAATCCGAAGGAACAGGAATATTTAAATCCGATATAACATCGGAAACGTCAATATTGAAGTCAGGGCTTCCAATCAGTTCATTGAGATATATGATGCGTTTCGCAAACCCATGCTTAATGAAATCTTCCGCCTGAATCGACCAACAAAAAAAAACTCTGACAACATATAAAGGAATAAATCTATCGTCGCTGACTTACCCTTTCCGTTATTCCCGCCTTGAATTCTTCCAAGTCCTACGAAATGTATTCGAAAATCGTCATGAGTCAGAAAATAAAGCAATTTTATTGCAACCTTGCCTTTTCATAAGCGCTTTTGGTCATTTTCGAAGCACGATGAACACACCGACTGACGATTCCCACGTTGTAAAAGATAAGAGAAACAACTTCGTTTTCTGTGAAAAACCTCGCGGAATCAATAGGATCGTGTGATTTTTGGCAGTACTCCAAAAATCACAAATAAGGAGGGAAGACTCGTAAGTTTCGTCAAACCTTTGAAATTAAGTGCTTTCGGTCCCTCACGTCTATGCATCAGAATATTTCCAACTGCCGTGAGATGCATCAGACTTACATCCAGTTTAGATTCAACAATTCGATATTTCTCCACTTCCAGCACCGACTCGAGCTACTTATTTCTCAGCAATTCACATTTTAGGATTTTAGAACAACCTGAGCTTCCCGCATGCCAGGTAGAAAAATCCGAAGGTTCATTTATTTCTTAGTAACATCGGTCCCTCACGTCAGATCTTACACGGTGTAAGTGAAATTTCTGAGCTGTTTTTCTACATTTACAATTCATAAACATGAGAGTACTGTGCAGCAAATTCTACAAAAAAATTATTTCCTCGCGGGGATAGGGAGCCAGAACATTTTCCTACGCTTAAGACAATAGAAATCACACCCATCCAACTCAGACACAGGCAGCAAAAGAGTGACGAAACTTGCGGAGCAACCCTCGTACGAAAGGCACAACAATTTTGCTTTCAGTACCCATACCCAACTTCTTCATTAGCATATCACAACGACATAAACCGGAAAAGAGAGTGAAATACGCGATTTTACTTGAGGCTCCTCATAATCTTTCTCGTCCTCCAGCTACGCACTTCCCGCAAAGCCTCTTCCAACTTATCTTTTAACCTAACAAGGTCACGGGGAGAAGTTTGCCAAAAATACACCCCCGCAGTCGTCACTAGTCTCAGGAGTATCACAGGATTGCCAACAGCAGCATGGTTAAGTCGAGACGCAACTGGAACTTGCAACCTCCACTGGAACCCGAGGAATTTCGGCAACACATCCACGCATGCTTTTTGTTTCTCCAATACTCTCCGAAAAGAAGTCGTCTGAGATAGGCAAAAGCTTACAATCCTTCTAATATTTTCTTCATCATCAATTCCCAGGGCTCTAACATAATTCTCGATTCCAACGTCGTCTGATCGACTTTTAGTGGTTTCTTCCGCAAGGAAAAGTAATGCATCGATGGCTTTTCCAACGATTTTGGGATCGACACCCAAGCGGGAACCCGCACCGGAAAGTACGCGTTCATTAGTGCTGTGTTGCCCGCTTTGGGCAGCGATTTTGCAGAATTCCTCGACGACAGATGGGTCAAAGTTCTGCAGCAAGGAAAGGTCCTCTTTGACGGTTTGCAATTCGAAAACCATTTTTTTTTAATCACATCGCAGGCACAGAATTTTAATTTAACGTCTCCGCAACCTGCACAGTGTCTGCAAAAAAATGCACAAATGGAATCATGAATACCTCACGCGGTTTCCCATAACCGAAGTGTGGAAATCCGAAGATCAACAAATGTATAGAACACAAATGAACAAGACACAGAAATATGGAAAAATTCTAGTTTATCCTTGCTCAACAAATACATACGAGTGAAAAACTGAAGTCAAGAGACAAAAAATGAACGGATCACGTTTCGGCAAGCTTGGCTCACCAAAAAGATCCAATGACCTGGAAAAGAATTCACCAAAGTAATGCTTCACGAACACAGAACTCAATCCGGAGTTCAGAATAAGCGGAGGACCAGAAGAATGTGAAGCTGGTCGTGCAAGGAGGAAAATAAAATGAAAAAGGTGCTTGAAGCGAAGTAACGGTTGGCGGAATGCAGGAACGGAAAAAATCCTCCTGCTCTCCTCAAAGCGACACAACAGCTTTCATACTGGATTTACAATCAATATTTTGACCGCTTTTGTCAAAAGATACTCCAACCGTACCCAGGAACGTCCGAGTTTCTTCCTCCGACGAGAAGCATAGGGAACTGGTAACAAATGCAATCGGGAAATCCGGCCGATACCTTCAAAGGATACAAGAGAAGCTTCTTTAACTTAAGTTATAATACAGTGACGCCATCAGAGGATTAACACAGAAGAAAAATGCAATCTGCTTAAAAATCAATTGAAAACAAGTAATCTTCGTAGTGCACAATCCTTTCAGTGGATCTTCGAAATATTCAATTCAGTTTAGTTCAGATACCCGAAAGAATGGTCGTGATTCAGACTAGTAATGTATGTCTACTGAAAATGTTCAAGACTTCAAAAATCAAAATAAATTCCTTCCATTTCTAGGAAACATTTTGATGGCTCAATTGATTTCGTGCATTGAAGTCTACAAAATGAGCCCAAAAGTATGCGAGGAATTTTCTTGACAGTTGAGTCAATGGATAATGGAAATTCGACAGCAAGGAAGATAAAAAAAATAAGAAAAACGTTTCCAATCTCAAAGTCACTCGCGGACATGAACACGATCACAGAAGTAGTAGCACATGCAGATTCAATAGTTCGCGTACGCTTTTTCTGGAAACCCTCAAATTCGAAAATACGGTGATAAACTTAGCAGTCGACATATTCTCGATGAAATATTTCCAGTTTTGAAACTCATGAATACATCCTGTACCACGAACTCACGTGCTTCATCGCAGGAGAGAGAAAAACATGAGGCACGGAAAAAAACTCATCAATTACAAAGAGGGAGACGATAAAACTTCGCCAACAGGAACTCTTCATATCGAACTACTGCATATAGATATGAAACATTCGGATAACTTACGCCTTGATGATGGCACGTAATGCGAGATTACGCGTTTTAGGAAGAAACCAATCCATCATTGCCTTCAAGTGACTCAAACGCGGATCCCGCTTGGCAGAGGAATATAAATCAAAAAGCTTAGAAAACACCCCCAAGGTCCATGCCGAACGAACGGCACAAGCATGTTTCAAGAAAAGTGACTGCCGTTCTTCTGCGCTCAATCGCGCCAATAATCTATTGATACCTAGGCAATGAAATTTGAGAAGACAATAAAACGCGTAAATATATTTACAGTACATTTAGTTAATGAAAAGCGACTTACCTATACTACTATTGGTGTAGATATAATACAACAAACGATATGACAAAAACTCCGCCTTGTTTGACAGATCCTCTTTTGTGAAATTGTCAGCGTCATATAGCTGTTCCAGTTGGCTCATACATTGATTGAATTCCCCGTGATCTTTCGCCAGGATTGCTAGACGTGCATGGGTTTCGTAGACCTCTATTGTGAGCATCGTGCGAATCCCTTGCACCTTTACAAAAAAGAGACGAAGTTCTCAAACACGGTAATGCAATGTCTCACAACTCCAGTTAGAATAACTTAGATCGTCAGATTTGGCAAGCGATACAAGTTGCATCGAACAGATTCAATTCCTTTACGGGCATCAAGAATCGAAAAGATAAAACAAGGATAAATTTGCGTTTTGTATTGGCACATGTACAATAGGTCCAACAAAATTCTAGGATTACATTTGAAATTGCCAATGACTGAGCTGAAAAAAGTACGGTGTTCAAAACTGGCAAAAAGCAGACCGGTGACAATTGGCAGAAAATTCTAGCTGTAGGTGGAGAATTTTTACAAGTTTCTGCAAAATATGTCAAGCAGGGCTGAAATCTTTCTTCAAAAAATGCAGGAAAAAAATTTTTTCTGCTCAATCATATGCCGCTTCACTTTTTATTTTCAGCACTTTCGTTTAACCCCTCATATGGTATTCGACATTGTCGCATCAGAATACAGTACTCCAGGTAAACAAAAGCGGAATATCAGAACACCGTCTTCGCCAGTGAATTTACATTTTTACTTCGAAGCGTTCGAATCCGCTTTTTCTAATCCTTCCACATACGAACTGTTTCCCTTAATCACAAAAAAAATTGGTTGCGGGTACTTGACTTGAGGTTGTAATGGCAAGGAAGGCGGTGTTCTGAAGAACAGCTAAGATCAAGTCATACGTACCGTCAAGTCTTGGCGAATGGACTTCAACTGATCCCAGGCGTAATGGTAGTCTTTAGAGCCGCTTTCCCATCTGTCCTTAACCATTTTCAAAGATTTTTCTAAGATATGAGGAGGTCGAATAGTAGCGGGATCAGGTGCGGATGTCAAACGCAAAAACTGTTTCTCCAAAGATGTAGAATATCCTACGACGTGTTCGGAGCAGGCCGAAGCAAAGTCCCTACCACCCGCGTATGATACACCGTAGTCCTGCGATTTTACAGCTACACTACCAGGCTGCGCGAACCGTTGAGCCCGTTCCGATAGCTTCTCCTCAGAAATCTCCACAACACTTTTGATTATACTAGCTTTGCTTTTCACAGCCACGCCGCGATTAAGCCGCTCAGCGACCGGAGCACGATCTTTTCGACCTTTCTTGGCAGGTTTTTTCGGAGAAAAACGAGTTGGACTCCTAGACCTAGAACGCGACCTACTAAGCGATGTTTTACTCTTGGAACGACTACTAGCTCGTCTCCTCTTCCTCTTCTTCCGCAGATCGTTGGACGGACTCGATTCCAACTCGGATGAAGACGAAGAGGACGACGACCGGAATGTGTTGCGGCCGTAGCCGGCCGCGGGTTTAGTACGGGTAGCAGTCTGCACTGCTGCTCGGGGCGAAGCCAACAGACCACCACGTCCTCTGCCTCGATTACCGCGCAGCGAGTTGTTCAATTTCTGATCCAATTCACTCATCGCGCACGGTTTACCAATAGGTGACAAGCAGACATTATCGATGCCAGGCGTTGGACCCATTGTGAATCCTGTGCTGGGCTTCGAATCGCCGGCACCCGGAAGTGAGCCGGATAACCTGAACAACCAACAAATCAGTACATACGTCGAAACTTTGGAGGCGACATCAATCTTACGAAAAGCGAATCGGTTTGGCACCGATCAACCCTTTTCTTTGCGCGGCGATACTCCCTAGGGTCCCTGAAAGTCTATACTTCACGCGAACCTGCTCCTCAAATGCATCTGCTTCCTCTTTGGTATTGCACATTTTAAATCCTTCATCGAGCATAGACCTACGAAGTTGAACAACGCAATTCAAAAGTTATTCTTAGAGGGAATCCGAAAGAAAAGTTACGTGAAGTCTTCTGGTTTCTTTTCCCCGAGCTGTTCTGGAAAAGGTAACAAGGGGGCTCGCTTCCAATGGGCTTCATCTGCTTCTAAGGAGGGAAAAGTTTCAGCTGGAACATCTGAACCAGGGAGGGGAATACTGGCAGGATCAGGGACATCAAGAAGAGATGTAGATAGGTTTTGCTGAGCTCTCCATTGCTTCCGTTTCTTCTTGTTCTTCTTACCCTTGAGATTAGCTGATAGAAGAATATTTATACTGTATTCTTCGTTCTAGACATCAATCTTTTAAACGAGTCCACGCACCAGGTGGAGGGGGAGCGGAAGAAACCGGAGGAGGACCGCTTGGTAGAGGGGGTGCGGCTTGATTCGCCAGAAGAGGACAATTCATCCGCGGTGAGCCTCCTGTATGAATGGAATTACTTGACTTTCGGGTATAAGCATCAAGAAATGCACGGTGCATACCTATTGGGAATGACATGTCGTTAGGCGGACCCATCTGCATGTGATAGCCACCATTTGGAGTTCCATGAAAAAAGTTTTGGTGCGGCGGAATTGGCGGACCTCCGAAGCCTGACGAAATATTTCCGTTCATGCCCGGATATTCTCCGCCATATCCACCGAACCTGGTGGGAAGATTATGTTTGCACCGGCACTCATGTCAATTGCCAAGTAAAACTCACCCGTACGGAACTCCAGGAGGGTGCGGGTGCATACCCCACGAGTAATCCGTCATCTCTTACGTATGAACACTTGATCTTTACGCGGATCTCTCGGGAGGAAAAAATATCCTAACGCGAATGGAAACCTATTACGCGCACGAATACCACTGTAATCGACACCTAAAGCAATAAGTCATCGATTGAAAACAATGATGAGCTTTTCGTAATGATACGCACGGACAAGACACTTTCGAGAGGTTTTACAAACACGATGCTGTCTTCATCACTCCAACAAACTCAATGATCTGTAGATGGAACACTTCAAAGCCACAATTTCCATGTCCTCGAACTAATCGTGCCCTTGCGCAGGTAAAACTGTCATGGATGACCAGCTGTAAAAAAAAGCTGCAGGACTTCATCGTTAGGACGGTGTCACTGGGGGTGAATCGTCTATCTTCTTCATCCACGTTATTCGGATTCATTCGGCAATAACAATCAGGGAATTTCTGTCGAACAGTCATCATTTCTATCTCTGTTAAACTGTTACATAGACTGTTTAAGATAGATATAATACAGTGGGCCCCCATCTTACGTCATCAATCCGTTCCAGGATGGACGTCATAACATGGGGCTGTCGTAAGTTAAAACTGTATTTCCCTTAACGTTACATTATAAAAAAATTAATTTGTTCCAGAAAAAAAACTATTCAACTAAATTTACCTTTATATTTCAACTTTTTGTCAGAAACTGGTCACATCATGGAAGTACTGTGCCAACCAGTGCATAGAACAGCAAACCCTGAGGCTTTTTGAAGTGTGTATACCTGCTCAACAACCTGCTGCAGCAGACTGCGTGCGGTTCTTGGGGGTTATTTTGTGTGACATGCCTATGTTTTGCTTTGGTGCTGAGAATTCAGAATATGATCCACTCATTCTTTTTCTTGTCACTCATACAGTTGGACCTTGATGAATCAAACCTTTCTTGAGTCAAATACTATTCTTCTGCCTATTTGTGGAAGCACCTGTCTAAATTCCTTCAGAAGTGCTTCCTTGACTCAAAGACTTTCCTCTCCAAACCTCCAACTGTTGTATGATGGCTCATTCTGAGAGAGCAGTCCCAGTAAATTTACTCAAGGGATGTTTTTTTTTCCTTTTCATTTAATTTTCAAAATTATTTTTCTGAGTATATATTACGTCATTGGGGGTTCATTTGGACATGTATCTGGTTCCCCTGTCTGGGGGAACCAGACACATGTCCAAACAAACAAAAAAATGGTTGGTTTTTTTATTTTTCCAAAAAAACGGTTGGTGGGAGGGAGCTGAGGAACCTCAGAAGCTGTCGTATCATGAAACCCCGACGTAAGTTGGGGGTTTTTTTAAAGTAAAAAAAGTGTCATAAGTTGAAACTGACGTAACATGGGCCCATCGTAAGTCGGGGGCCCACTGTATATTCATCAGCACATGTATCGACTAATTTTGTCAGTTCATGTTGTTTAGTTCGGTAGATTAGAGAACAGTTTTCTTATTACCGTACATTGCATAACATAAGGAACTCTTATTGTCAAAACTGTACCTGAATCGTCAGTTTGGCAGCATGCAGATGCATGCACCACTATACAAATAAAAAAGTGCATGGTAGCACGGACATATCGAGCATACGCAAGAACTGAAAATGCAAAATCCGGGAAAACGAATTTTCCCTTTTACAATTCTTCGAGCATTGCTGTCACATTTTCTAATGTACAGCGCGAAAATCTGAGTTTTTCAACTATTTATCTTATTGTTTGTCTTTCTGCCTCCTTCTTAATTGATCCAGCAGACGATACTTCTGAAAATAATAATTTGTCCGCAAGAGTATATATAGGCTGGCCTCTTACAAATGCCATGGTAGAAATAGTAACTTTTTCATAAACACCATGGGTATATTAATTGGAGCATACAGCAGGTGAATATAACCTCCTTAACTCAAACCTCCTTTAAGTCGAATTTTTTCAGGTCCTCATCTGAATCCCCTTATAGATGAAGCACTCGGTTAAAAACCTTACTAAGTCAAAAGCTTTTCTACTCAGTAAAAAGCCTCCATTTATCAAATTTTCTCTTTCCTGTTGGCCATTATATTATTTTCTTGGCCCAAGAAAGAAAAAAAAGCAATGAAAACAGAGATGTATGTGTTCAGAAGGAAGTGAAAGACCTAATAGGGCAAATGAACCCCTGCCTCCAAGTTCAGTATTCATACACAGTATAGCCAACTCATTCAAGCAAGATGCCTTTTAAATCCTAGAAATTAACTGTTTACATTTTTTAAGTCACCAGCAGAAAAAATGGCTTTGTATTGTGGTTCTAACCTATATAATTCAAAGCCTCATCCCTAATTCAAAAATGTTTGCAGGTTTCTTGAAATTTGATTTAGAGATGTTTGACTGTATATTTCATACTTTAAAAATATTAAAATGGAAATGAATACAGAATTTTATGTTATTATTCTACAGATATGCTGGTAGTTTCAGTCTATTCAATGGATGTTATGTGAACAGGCTTTACAGAACATACCTGCGCGTGAAAAAACAGAATAATGCTTTGGTGCAATATCTGTCAAGTTATTGTAAATTCACCTTCTATCAGTGAAGAATTATCAAGGAAAATGGCCGAAATTAACGAGCAAAATACGAATTAACCCATGGAAAATCTTCGAGCCTGCTGATGTACCTAATACTGGTATAGTATTAGGTTTATGCATGCAGTTCCTGCCAGAAGGATACAAATACTGTACAGTCAACCCCCGTCTAACGGACTTGATTCGTGCAATGGACAAGTCTGTTGGACGAAAAGTCCTTTACATGAATTCAATTACATGAAAAATTTCAATTTTCAACACTAATTTTAAACCAAAAAAAGTCTGGCGGATTTTGTCTGTTGGGCGGGAGGAAAAACTGCTTGCAGAGCTGGTCTGTTTGGCAAAAATCCCTTACACAGGAGGTCTGTTAGGCAGGGGGCCACTGTACAGTACTGTTATGTGTACGAACGATACATCTTCTGATTACAGAGAGATAAATTAGAAAACGTGAGCTTTGGTACTATACTGACCAGTTTTTTTTTTTTTTTAGATAAAAACGCGCATCCTTGTATTTAATATTTCTCAAGCTCAACAACTCACTCATAATGCGACTTCGGGTGTCAACAAACGGTGAGGTCAAGGCTAAGAAGTCGAGCGAGTATTTTGAAGCAAAACAAATGTGAGAAAAAAACGCGTTAAAAATAGATATCACGTCGCCAAGACTCTGGATCATGACCCACACGTGGCCACAAGTCTTGGCAACTAATATGACCCCCTACCTCGACCACGTGTCCGAAGAATTCTTAAAATTGAAGGAATCCAGTGTTCGCGTTAAGCAGCAATCAATTGCGTCCAATACCCTGTCGGCGACAGCTATTATGCATGAACGCTGGTCAATTTGCATTATACTTGGTCCAGAATGAATTTCGTAGAGTTGCGGAACTGTACTCGTGCTCACATTCAACTTAATTCTGTGAGAAATGGAGACGAACAGGGTTATTCGGAAAAAAATAAACCGGACAAGGAAGATTCGCAGCTTTAGCAATATGCTCAGGCGCTTACAAAAATTACCAAAAAATAACCCCACCCCATATGTCCATTATTTTACGCGTCATTTGACTTCAAATACATAAGAACACGAGAGATCACAGCTGTACATTCAGAGGGAATCGTTGTCACAGACGAACTATTTTCAGTCCAGGGGAATTTCAATTTTTGAGAATCAAGCACAGTAATTTCCGGGGGAAAACTTTTTTTGTATAAAGAAAATGTGGTCAAAGAGAATATTGTGTTTGAGACAGCAGAAAAGTAACCAAAAGGAACATCGTTCCGTACTCCTTCAAGTCGGATGATGGAGAGTGTATATTTTCACAAAATAACCAAACCGATGAAATATTCATTTGGATTCGTGCGACACAAACTTCCAAGGTTTACTTCATCACGCTCAGCGACGGGGCATCACGCTAGGAACTAATGAAGACTTTTCAAATTAAACACGTTCCTATTTCCAGCACCGATAAAAAACTTCGTAACGAAGATGACATCACAAAAAATTAAAGACCACCCAGCAGATCGAATCAATGAAAATTCGTTCAGAATTGAGAAAAACCAAAAGATGAGACGCACGCAAGAAAATGCAACACAATAATCTTCCGGGGGACTTCCGAGGTCTTCATTAGCCAAACAGATCCAACCAGTTCCGTTCTTTGCTTCTTCTACTACAGTACCATCATTTCAAAGATATGCGGAACAAGTTTACTCATTCGACATCAAGTCGACTGTTTTCGTTCGAAGTAGACTTGATTCCACGCCTGTAATTCATGTACTGTATCTCTGAAACTAACGCTAATCTCTGCGAAGTAAGGGCCAATTACCGACATTGAGGCTTTGTCAAAAAAGCTTCGCGTCGGACTTTCGTAACGTCCCATTCCCTCCCCCTCCCAAAAAGAGCTCGTTCGATTAACAGCACTATGACACTTGAACCCAGAATCCTCCCAGGTACGATAGACAAAGGTCGATGTATGTTAGTCGCATCCAGTTCTCAAACCTCACTGAAATCACTCTCGCTTCCCTCAAAAATCTAATCCGTGCTCTCCTGTTCTCCAAAATAAAAACATACGCCGCATCCGATACACACAAAAAATGAAGGTAACAAGATCCCGACTGAAGCTCTTCCTTGGATTCCAGGCTTCGAGGTCGATATAGCATAGTTTTGAGTACGTTTGCAAACACCCTGACGAGTACTAGAAAATTCCTGACACAAGTAAGCCAGATTGGCTCTTACACATGACAAAAGTTGGCAAGAGCAGTGGATTCATGAGAACTGAACTTGGGAAAATTTAGCGCTAACAGGGGAGAAAAGAGCAATGACTCGAGTGGGTTCATTCGGAATCTGATCCATTGTCGATCACAGAACTTTGCCCAGACAACGGTCCTTTAACTCGGAACGGTGCCGTGTACATCTCGCTAAAAATAAGAAAAAAATGATAATTCATAAATTAGCAATAATAATGATAATGGATAATACTGTAATAATTACATGAATAAATGCAACTAAAATCAGCCTCAACATAAAGTATCGTTGCGAACACGACATACGGACGATTTAACTTGGCAACACACAGAAAATCTGTCCCTACATCCGCACAAAATCTTGAGATACATACACTAATCCAACAATTTTAGAAAACTTATTCTCATAACTTGGATATCTTTTGAACAATTGAGCTATTTTATATTATAAAAAATTGTATTTCAATTTTATTTAATGATAAATTTAATAAAATTCATAATCAAAACAGGCTAAGTTAGGCTGCTTTTTTCGAAGTTGTTGCCATCATCTATTGACAGCACTGTATAGAAAGACTCGTTCTAATTCTTCGCTTATCGTGCTTCTTTTGATACCAAACGATAATATTTCTGTGTGGTTTTTTCACTTTTTTGCTAATTATTTTGAGTTCTGAAGTTGAGAAAATAATTGATTTATTTTCAGCGGACTTATTCCTGAGTTTTGATGAATTCGCTACATTTAATACTGTACAATCAACAAGCAACTAGCAAGTTAAAACTTGCAAATTTTACCTCAACTGTCGATAGTAGTTGAGCCACTCCTCCAGCATCTGTGCAACGAGGAGATGAGGTCGAGGTATTTGTTGCTCGGCAACAAGCAGGCCTCCGTGATCCAAAAGACAAACGTCAAGCCACTGTCTTAAAATCCTGTCCTCGTGGCCAAGCTGCGAAAATGAGACATAGAATCATTCACATTTAACTCGGAGAACAAAGAAAAATTGAAATACTGTACATTAATATTAAGACAACTGAACGAGCAGAGGTTAATTGACACGAGGAGATCCTCAAGTTCTGGAAAAATCATTCAAAGAGGAACGCTTGCAAACGATTATTTTTTTTAATACAGAATTATTCCGTTGAAAATGTCGAAGGATAATCAGAACCAAGGCTGCAGCATCCGTAACAGCAAATTAAAGTTCTAATAGTACAGTATAACTGAATAAATTATCGCAACAATGAAGTATTCAGCCACGCAGAAAAAAGGAGCGGCAGATTAACTAATGGACGTTAACGGATGAGCGAAGAATGACGATCATTATCTAATAGGTTCAACAAGTTTCATTCGTAGGACGGAGTTTGAAAGTCTCAATGTATCTTGAACTTGAAGCTCAATTTCTAAAATTAACAATTGAATAAAAATGACAAAAAACCTCAAATTCTCGAGGGGCACAGTAGCCTTGCATACTGTATGCAGAAACTGAAAAAAACCCCACTCAAATTAACAGCAGGCATGCTGAGCAATCTTAATCGCACAAGCTTTCTCGCGTTTCTGACTATTTTAATTCATTTTATGACTATCTTATAACTTTCGGACCTCCCAATGGAATCTTAAGCAACGGGTCTTCAAGAAAAATATTAATACCAAATCCCTAACAAAATTAAGAATTTCTAGCAATTTCAAACCTCGGAATGCGTGAGAAAATGCACTGGCAACAGTTTCCCGTCGGCAGTCACGAGCGGGATGTAATTGGTAACTCTGTAACCGCCCGGGCGCCTTCGCGGGCCAGCAATATCCTCGATCGGCGTTGCCGCACCCGGGACATTAACACCGCTCGCACCATCAAAAGGCAATAGCGGAACGAGGGCACTGAAATGACCCCGTGTGTAGCCCAGAGTTAACGGGCTCTTCCAGCAAAACGAATGGTCCCACAACAGTGGCAGGTACACTCCTACAATAAAAACAAAATCATTCCCCCTTATAATACGAATACGAAAAATAAAATAAAAACAATAGAATTCAAAAGAAATGAAATCAGATGGCCCCTGAGACGATTGTCCGTCACACTGCGAGCGCAGCTCAAGCTTTCCAGCGAGCCGCGCTTCAAGCAGACGCTCAGTCTTCAAGCTCAAATCATCATCTTCAAATATTGCTTAGAAATAGAAAGACCTCCAACGAAGAAGAAACTTTTCACTGATACTTTTTGAACGATGAAGGCTATTCAGAATATTAAATCAGTACCGCACAGATAAATATACGCATTTCTTTCAGTCAAACAAAAATTTAAATTTATCGATTTTCCAGAACGAAAGAGTGGAAGTTTCAACGTATCCAATGAGAATACTTTCTGAAATAAACGTCGCTACAACGTACAAGACTTAAAAACCTATTAAAACTGATCAACTATCAACAACACAACTTCGATAAATTTATTACTTTCAGTCAGAAAATATTCTGAGATGGAAAACTCAGATTGTATTAAACCCAATTGCGCTCATGATCTACGGGAATCATGGTAGTCATGCGGAAATTCTCACAAGAATTTCCCCCCGGAAAATTTAAAATTTTTTGGACACCGGAACAGTTTAAATTGCCGAATTTAAAAAGGCGAACAGTACGGCTATAAAATTTGAATCTCAAATACAGTAAATTACTGGTGTATAAACAAATAAATTTCCAGCTTAAACTGTTAATTTCTCCAAAAGTACAGATGTCATATGAGGGACACAGAAACAGTACAGAGAAGTACCCAGAAAGTTTCGCTGTGGAATGCTTGAAATACTTCCGCTGAAAATTCTCAATTCTCAAGAAATAGAAATGAGCCACAGCTTAAGCCAATCTTTACTTTAAGTTCAAATAAATGAGTAAAATGAAACATAACAACAACAGTTGTAAGACAAATAGACACGTTTGAAATTATTAGAGCGTGGCAATTCTGGATACCCCAGAATTTTCAAGCTGGACTGTGTCATACGAACCAAATAAAAACTACTGTATGAAAATGTTCAGTACGCCAAGATAAAAAGCTTCCAAGTTGAACAGCGTCACACGGCAAGTTCGTTCGAAGATAAAATCGATTCCTCAACCAACGAATAAAGAATAAACTCACCTTCAAAGTGAGCTGTCCCAAGCACTTCGCCTCGAAAACTTTTGATGGACTTGACACCATAAACAATTATCGGACGGCGGAAAATGTGCGCGAGCACAAACACGTGTATTTGACACAAGGAAGCACCCGGCTGAGCCGCAGACCGGACAACAGCAGTCCATTCCGAACACAACTGGCGTTGGTTCAGAGCGTAGCCCAAGAGACCCGCCTGCAAACACTCGTATTCTTGCCAGCGTGGGTAAAACCTGGCGAAAAATCCATGAACACCGAATACTGCACAGAATTCTCAAAATGTGCATCATAACAGTTCCGTCGATGGATATGAATAGAATTCTAAATTCAGGAATGCAGAGAAAGGAGTGGAGGAATGCACAGAAATTAATGTTACCATTCAAGATAAAATTAAATTTAAACGAAAGAAAACGCTTCGAATTTTCAATTGTCAAAGGAAAAAAAGCTTTTTAAGCAACATTTTTCAGAACAAAGAAAGTTAAATCCACTTACAAAGCCGTCGATTGCGTCAAGGTTTCAGAAAGTGTCCTTCGAAGAGTGCCCTCTCTATCACAAATGCCCCAAGCAGCTTGCATACAGGCGTCAAGCAAGCAGTCACCCGCGGTACGATTCCATAGCGCAAACAACCTTGAATATTCTCCAGATTCCTAACAAAGAAAATTATGAAAAATTGAATAAATAATCTAGAAAGCGCAAAGGTAGAAATTGACATTACAATCATCACATCTGGGAGCCAGTTTATGGCTGGAGGTGATGATTCCTCAGGTTCCTCCAATTCCCGTTGAGCTTCGCGATCCAAGAGCTCCTCCCAAAGATGACCTTGAACTGCAGGTGACAATGCGACAAGCTCTGCGTAAAAATTGTGAATTGCATCCATTAATAAAACTAACCTTCAGAAAAACGATGAAAATGAAACGTAAGCAAGAATCGGAGCAACCAACCTTGTGGCAACCCGAAGAGAGCGCATTCAGAAAAAAATTGCCCCGGACAGGGACCAGGTTTGTAACGTAGGGAGTTTTCTACATGCTTGCGGATTTCTTTAGCCAATCCAGGGGCTATTACGGACGGCATACGCTTCAACCCGTTTCGCCCGCGGCGCTCTTCCAAGGCATCGAAAACCATCGCCAGAAGAGCTTCTCGTTTGAACCTATCCAAACGAAAAGACCCGGTCAGCTCACATATGTTAAATTATGAAAAATTTGACAAAATTCGATCGTTCAAAATATTTCTCACAAAACTTTAAAGCTCTTCGATAAACCACAGATCGCTAAAAAAGTCGTACTTCAGGCAAAGATGAACCAACGAGGACCCAGTCAAGGATGGTTGGTTGAGCAATAAGGCATCTTGTCGAGATATCTGTTTCGCAGGGTCACCGCCGGACTTGACATAGGTAATTACAGGTTCAGCAAGCCCATCTATCACGGCTTTACAAGCTTCTAACCAACTCCAGTCAACTTCCCGGAGCTTCCTCTTGCCAACTCTGCCACGCTTGTGAGTTTCCTGCAAGATATGGCAATGCATTATAATACGATATGGACTCCGCACGCTTAAGATCCTCACAATGGTGTTATCACAGTCTGGATCAGCGGTGGCTCCTTGAGGGCAATAAATTGAGGCATCCGTTTTTGTAGGTGTCTCCGAGCGAGAAATCGAGGGAGATCTTGAAGATTCATGGTTTAGATGATCGTCAAATGTTCGGCAAGCGTGACATAAGACACATTTTACGGCTTTTGGATAATTGTCATACGTGCAACGTAGACAAGTCCACTTCTTCAATGAGGATGAACAACTGAGACCTTGAAGTTTTTCGGCAAGCGCCCGCACATCGTCAGGAACTGGCGATGGGAGCCGCGGGGAGGCTAGTGATGGGGAGAGTCTACCGTTACGGTTATTCTGCGCTGGCACAACGGGAAGCATAGAATTCGGCACAGATTTAACAGTCCTACACTGCACGCAACAAGCATTGCGATTCCAATTGAGGAAGGTGCACGCAGGGCAGCTCCACTTCTCCGGATTATTACAGTCTACATTGCCAATGCTCGGCGAATGTTCTTCCAATGCGGACAGCTCGAAAATATCACGAGGTATCATTCTGGATGATTTCACGGCATTGCACATGGTGCACTTTCTCGCGGAAGGCCAGTTCTCGTAGGTGCACTGGGAGCAACTCCATTTCTGATCGTGATCCACAGGCACTCGCTTGCCACTACTCATTTCACGAAAAACAAAACGCGATTTTGATATTGACTGCCAGCAGAGGTTTCTCAGTGCTGAAAAAGAAATATAAACTAGTTCGTCTCAAAATCTCATGGAATCCTGCACATCTCCAATATAAGACCAGTTCGAGCGAAAGCGAATATACCTCAACACGGTAGATACTTAATGGCTCGCTTGATCTAATCTGCAAAGGGTTCGTACCTTACGCACATCGTACCGAGATTTTTGCATGCAGTCCTCCAGCATTCTGCATCGACGGAATAAAGGAATGATGGAAATCTCGCTTTAGAAGACTCAATATACTTAAATAGTTCGAACTTCAAACAGGGAATACGTACATCCATAATTAATATGAGAATCACTTATCAATAATTAGAAAATCGTCACTAACAATCCCCAAATACACGAAAAATCGACAACTGAGTGTTTCACCCTACCCCACTTAGTCGAGAAGACGAGTCCGGGCGAGTAATGTCGATTGGTTTAGAAAACTGCCGAAGGTCGGAATGTTATTCTCGACCGTAATTTTATTTTATTTATTTAAGCTCACAAGGTTTTGTGTGCTCTTGACCACGAGTTTTCCTGGTTCAGGTACAACAGATCGCGCGACATGCACGGAGTTTCGACAAGAATGACTCTGTGCCAAGTATCACAGAGCAACCGATAACGAACAGATAATACACTTGTACTGTATAATCATGGCAGTAAAATGCAAGTCTAATTCAGTGCAGCACTGTAGTGTAAATCATTGTAACATCACGGACAGAATGAGATCAACAGTTTGAATTAAATTATTATCAAGTAGCAATATTCGTATTCATTCTGCAAGCCACCCTCAGCAAAATTTGACTTCAGTCAGGTTGAACCAACATAGAGGACCCCTCATGTCCTAAAGAGAAATGAACTATTACAGTACAGTACAGTATTGCACAACAGTATGTACATGTGAAAGAAAAGTGGCAAAATCTTTCAGAGGCCAGCAAAACAAAGGGAATATCATTTCAAAAATGACAGTTGTATTTTCTTGTAAATGGGCACACATTTTTAGGGAACATTCAATTAAGCATTCACAACAATCACGTTAAAAAAGCTCCAGTTCTGCTGACACTCTTCGATCAAAATCATCACCCAAGTCGAACACGTACTGGACGTATCCCTGGGCTCCTTAATTCGAAAGGGGCACATCGTAAAAAACTAGCTGTTCCAATAAAAATAACCCCTCATTCTGGAAATTTATCGTTCATCATGTTGAAATGGCGGCTCACAAGAAATGTGAAAGTTGCGCAATCCCGCACATTTCTAGAATTATCACGGATTACTAACAAATTTTTTGAATTCTGGTAACGCTATGTCGCTCCAATGAGAATGCCAATCGCGGGACGCGAAACGCTTCACGTTATCGCGATACGTCTTGTGAAACGTGTTGCCTGCGTTTGGATTCTTGAAATCCGGCCCCTTAAACCACTTGACAAGGGCAGCATGCAATTCTGAGGCATTGTTGAAAACTATCCCGTTCTTGTCGTTGACTACCAGCTCCTCGAGGCTGTATCAGAGAAAAGGAAAGACAATAGATAAGAAAAAAAAAACTGATGACATTCCGGATCATTAGCCCTCCGAACAAATTTCGCGTCGAAAGGTTTTAGCGCGACCACGTGGAAAAAATTCATTTCCAAATGAGTAAATGACGCACAAAGGATTAAGAAATGTTGCGGAACAAAACGCACACGAAATTCTAATTTACGCGGGGATACCAAACTTCGCTCCCATTCAAATGATTTGTATCGCATTACATCACGAACCGTTTTTGAGGACAAGAATTACAGTATTAGCATACCCGCAATACTACAGTAATGTATGAAAACTGAAAATTAAGTGTACAATCGAGGCACTGACATTTACATAAAAAATTGAAATTGCTTTAGATGTCGGCATAAATTTGTTGTTTAGCGAAGCTGAAGATGTTGGATTCTGGGATCGATGCCTATAAATGTTCGATCCCCAAAGTTATTGAACATTTTTCGGTGAGCTTTTCATCTTGACCAACACCAAACGGGAATAATCAAATAACATCATGCTTCATGATCATGCCCGTACAAATTAGGAACTGGAAATCTGGTTATAATGCTTAAAACCCAGTTGTTGACTTAATGGCTTGGTAATCCAAAATTACCCGCGTTCTTTGCGGGCGAAGCTGTAACTTCCGCAGCTCGAACGTTTCAAAACAAAATTTCGATTACGAGAATGCATTTGATATCGTCAGTTTCTAAAAAAAAGTGGGCTAGAAAGGAGGGTACCAGCTGAAGTCCAGAGCAGCAACCGGTAGTCCAGCACCGAACATATCCACAACTTTCATGGGGAGATCCAGTCCACTGGAGGACGAATGCAGGCTAACGCCCAAGTCGGAAGACGCTGAAACCCACCAAAGCAAGAACATGTATGCGAATACAACACGAACGACGGCAGAATGTACCATGCAGCGGTCGTAACTATTCCTCGATTACATTCCGTGAGATTCGACATGATCGTCATAAAAAAAATTGGAACGAAATTTACTTTTGCTCCCATGGTACACACGTTAACATTATTCGATAATTCGTGCAAATATTCTCTAGTGCTCGTTCCGAATCAATATTAAATGTAGTTAGAATCACACATGCAAACCCCATTAAGACGCCCCCCGATAAACCGCCAATTTATTTTGAAAAAAAAAAAAACTTCCCTAATGATAAACACATTGGAAATCCCATCGAAACTCCATCCGCCAACATTATTGGCAGCACAAATATGCTCCTGCCAATTAATTTTGAGTTCGATAACCCGCTAACAAGATTCAAGTTTCTGCGAGAGGCCACCAATTAAGAAAAACACGAACACAAAGATGACTTAATTTACTTCTTGGAAACATTAGCTAGATATAATTTACGCATCACAGGGTTATTTTGATTGCTTTCTAGAAGAATAAGAATTTCATTTCGGATTATACTTAATACGGTGACAACAGTTCCGAAATTATATAGGAGGGAGAAAGAGAGGAGAATAAAATCAACAATGGGCCATGAGAAAACCAGCCAACTCTGGGGAAAAATTTTGCCGTTAACAAGGGTAAAATACTGTACAAGGTTGTCATACGAATTCGGGATTCCTGACCAGTTCGAAAAGAAGCACAGTTTTTGCTTGAACAAATTCAAACACTTCAATAAAGGAATTTCCTTTCTCTTTACGTGATAAAATCGAATAGAACCATAAATTCTGCCACATACCCAGCATACGTGGGTAATCCTCAGCAGAAAGCCACGGCGTTACAATGACTATCCTTCGCCAGGGTATAGAGTCGATGATTTCAACAAATTTCCTCTTCAATGGACCCTTTCCGGTAATAACAACAACCAACTCAGCAATCACTTTATTCTGGACAGCTTGTGCATCGTAAGCTGTTCAAAAAAATGTGAAGTACATATATTAGGATACAACTTCATTTGGATACATCACGTTTACCTAAAATACAATACTGTACCCGTGTCACTGAATTTTTCTTTCTCAAAATTCAGGGAAAAAGTCATAGGGTATACACATTTTTAAAAACTTCAGAAATTTGGGTGGGCATTACATTTTATTATAAAGGGGTATTTTGGACCAATTTTAACGGGAAACTTATTGAAATGGGATCAATTGAAAATTTCTTGAATTCAGGATAAATTCGTGTCTAAATTAAAATTTTGGTGTTCTTACTTCTAAAATATTGCAGTTTCAGATTCACTAAAAATGGGGTGCGCGTCTTGTACTCGAGGGCGCGTGGCACTTGAGTCAATACGGTAACTAAAATATAAGACGCACCTACGGTATACTTATGCGTCTCAAAATGATCGAGAAAATTCTGGGTGCAAAATTCAAAGGAAAAATTCAGGTTTTAAAATTAGTCCTCCGATTCCTGGTATACCTTGTACACATGCGCGAATATAAAACACACTATCGGTGTACTCGATCCCTTCACAATCACATGAATACATAGCGTCTATTATATGCTCACTTCTGAGAAATAACCTTGGGTCTTGTAATGAAGATTTAAAAATTTTTATTTTGCAGTAATGAAGATTTAGAACATTTTGTTGGCCATACGCCAGCATGCATATACAGTACATAATCATGCTAGCATGAATATGAACTACTGTGCCATCCATTGTAAGATCTCACTGAATGAAAGACGCATCCAAATATTTTGACCTAAATTTTGAAAAAGTGAGGGGTTGTAAATATTAGGGTAAACATTACGCTTGGTACATGAATAAAAATAACTTCAGGGAACATCACTCACTTTCTAGAGCTGTCAGAAACATCTGAAAGTCTTCGTCCTCTGTCCAGCTCGTCGCAGACACGACTAACCCAGGACGTTCAGCCTTCAATTCAGCAGTCCCGATTTCCGACAGTTGAGCAAACCTGTTGACCCTTTTCTTTCCGCCGTCTTCACAGCAGAACGCCTTCGGATATAACTCCCCTATCCTCAACAGAAACTTCGCCTTCTCCTCGTCCGAAATCGGCTTAAAAGCAGGTGACGGAAGATCATACAGCGTCGCAACGCGTTCCAAACCATGGTTATTCAAATCTGCTCGCATCGCATCCGTCACGCAAAACCCTGCCACAGCGCGAGATCCGAAATGGAATTCCACCCAGCGACAGACGGACACAAGCGGATGGGTGGGCTTCAGGGTAAGCGAGAGTATCGTGTGGCCATAATTATGCCAGTCGATGAAAAAGTGGGCCTTCGTCACCAAGCAGTACAAATAGAGGACCGGAAGCGCAGGGATTGACGGGGGATTCTGTACCAGAACGCAGAGAGGAGGTCGACGCCAGTTCAAGGCCCACGCAAGACTCAGCGTCAACGCGAAGACTTTGATGAAGTAGAGAAATATTCTACTCATTCCTATATTAACGAACAAAAAGTTCATCAATTCAAGAAATCGATCCGTTTGCAGAGCATTTCAACAGCCCAGAGTGAACCACAGAAATGTAAGACACTCGTTTCAAAAGCGATACAATTTACAATAACTTCAATGTATGAGCTAACTTACAAAAAAATGAATTTTTAAATTTTAGTCGTTGCGATTAATTTTCGAGGCTTGTCCAATATTTTTCATTTCAAAAGAATCAGAATAATACTGAGAAAATGGCCAATTAAAGGAATTTCCAGACTAAAATTGCACGTGCTGACTTAAAATCGCAATTTGATTCTAATATTCTCACGAATATCTCAAGATCACATTCTGATTTAAATTATTGTCCTGTCATACATAATGTTGAACACGGCTGAATTCCCTGGAACACCTCACTGTCTTTTCCGAATTGTGTTCGTTAGTTGCCTGGACTTCCTGTTCTGTGCTATTCAAAAAAATTTAGAAGAACCACAAATTTAAATGAAGAAAGAAGTATACATTAACAATGTTTTCCACAACTGAATCTTAATTCAAACAAGGGCAACTTCTGTAGGATAAGACAAACAGAATGATAATCGAACACAGTGTCAAAAATGTGGAATCACTGCGATATTTAGAAACTAAAATTTAAAGGGATTTTTCAAGTAGGAATTATTCAGAGCATACCTAGGATCAAGCACAATTGCAGTTACGCAAAGCACGCAATGGGGTTGTATTTTTCTAAAGCTTTTTGGCCAAGCATTGATCATTTTCCATTTCGTGCACAACTGTTGGAGCAATTACTTTCATTTTGATAAGATCTATCCATTTAGCAAAAATAAAAAATGATCACAACGTATGCCAGTGATACTCCTGATCAATCGTGTTTACAGCTGGGAAATTAATTTCTTCCAAATCATTCTGTATCAGCAGACGAAGTTTAATACTTCAATCACTTATTCTTGCAGGATAACCCTCACCTTGAGCAGTTACAGAGATGTAGTCTTTAACGTAGGAAACAGAGATTCGCCCAGGATATTTCTTGAGCTCAGGGATTTCAGATCCACCGTATCCGATGAGGTTGACATTAAAGCCTTCCTCGATTAACGACGATGCGTGGTAACGCATACGAGGACTTCTACCGATGTCTCCGAGAACTACAACCGCAACTGTCGGTCTTCGCTGCTCCTCCATGACCATCGCGATTGTCTTTAAATTTTCTCAAAAATATAATTCAACGAACAGGGGAGCTTTCCTGCAAAATTCAATAATTTTTCAATCACGCTATCGATCGAAAGAAACAGGAACGCTTGGCTCAACAGCTGATAAGCACGAATATAATTCAAGGAAGACTGAATAAAACGCAACGAATATGAAATGCATCGATAATAATTTTTTTCCGATTTAAGAACAACGAAAACTTGACGCTCACGGAAGATTTGAACAGATTTGAAACACAACCAAAAAGTAAAAATTACATATTCCATTATCTGGCACGACGAAGGACTATAATCTGATTCGACCAGGAAAAATCCTTCGAAGGACGAGTCTGACGGTACCACGGATTTTCCGAGATAATTTTCTTTTATAAGCCTGAAAGAAAAAGAAAAACATTAAAAAAGACCTCCAAGAAAAATTCTACGGGCTTACATTTTCGTAATCAGAAAGACTAATCAATACGTTCAACTGCAATTTGCATCACGAATTTTTGGTTCATCAAATCATAAATCGCAAATAAAACACAGAACCCATTTTCTTACCAAAACAAAGTCGCATAATAGAGGATGCCAGACGGCTTTCGATGATGGATTCAAAAACGAGGATTTCACCTAAAAAATAGAAATATAGTAATCCGATAAAATCAGATTTTAATTTTGTAAGTCTTTCAATGCGATAGTTTTCCTCTTTCAGAAAGACTAATCATGCGTTCAACTGC